CGGGCGTGATGTTGATTGACTGGTACCTCCCCGCAGGAGGGTGCCTGACTCCGCATCACATACGCAGAAGACGCGTGAATTGAGGGTGGAGGCAGAAACAGTCTCCTGAGTATGCCGCCTTGAGTTACCGTTCATTCAGTCCGTACACATGCAGGGCACAGTTCTTCCTGCGTTTTATTCAAAGTTACTGTCGCTTCAGATCAGGACGTGGGGCTTTTTTATGACTCCTATTGTCAAATTAGTGACCCCAGTTAGTGTTCTAGGGGGAGGCATTTTTTTTTGCTTCTGAGATTTAAACCTGTCTCGTTGTATAGTGGAGAGGTTAGAAAAGGGAATGTGAACAAGGTATACCTCAAAATAGACACACCACGAAATAATTTCAAAAAGGACACCCATAGAGTATGAATAAAGACTATGTCAGATCCTTTGCGTTAGTATCAGTTGATGTTAGTGAAGCCCATACTTTGTTATAAAAAGAAAAAAAGAAAAAGAAATTTCTCCAGTTCGGAATAGCAGTCTTGTAGAAGTTCACTGAAAACTTGGGTCAGTTATTGTACCGTTCCTGAATATAGCATAGCTTATATTCAAGCAGAGATTTTGCATAGATTCTGGTTAAAGTGCATTTTAAATATTTAAGGTTTTTGATACAGAGCTGCCAAGAAAAGTTTATTATTTAAATAACTCACTGTCTTTTTCACTAAAGAATTTTTCATGAGAGGAAATTTATAACTTCTCCTTTTCATGCAGCCCCAGGCCAAATTTGTTTTATGTGGTAGATAACTTCTTCCTTTTCAAGATTATTTCCCCCTTTTAGCTTAATTAATCTTGTTTACTGATTTGTGTGTGTGGTGGAGGTTGTGTGTACAACACACTTGTGGAGGTCAGATGAGAATGTCCATGTTGTGGGTATAAGGAACTGAACTAAGGAAATCTGGTTAGTGGCAGTGTCTAATCCCCTCAGACATTTCAGTTTATGTGTATAGGTGTTGTGCTAGCATATGTCTGTGCGCCATGTGCATGGATTGCCCTTAGAGGCCTAGAGAGGGCATGGAGCCCTCTGCAACTGGAGTTACAGATGGTTGTGAGCCACCATGTGGGTCCTGGGAATTGAACTCTTCCTCTGGAAGAGCAGCCAGTGCTCCTAAATGCTGAGCTCTCTCTCCAGACCCTCTTATTTGTTTTAGTTTTTTGAAACAGGGTTTCTCTCTGTAGCCCCCTCTGGCTGTTCTGGAACTCATCTTGTAGATTAAGCTGGTCTTGAACGCAGAGATCCATCTGCTTCTGCCTCTAGACTGCTGGGAATTAAAGGTGTACACCACAATGCCCAGCTCCCCTTAAGCCTATTAAATTTCTGCATGGCAGTTTTTCTTTGCTTCATCATGAGTGTGTTTTCTTGAACATATAAGAGTAGAGAGGAAAGGTGGGCCTTTAATCCCAGCAGAGGCAGGTGGATCTGTGTGAATCTGGTACAAAACTACACAGAGAAACTCTTCAAAAACCAAAACCCAAAAAACAAAACACCAAAAAAAAAAAAAAAAAAAAAAAACAAAAAAAAAAAAAAAAAAAAAAAAACCAGACTGATTAAAACTTTTTTAACAGTAAAATTAGTTGAAAAAAAAGAAAAGAAAAGAAATGTGCTAAAAGGATAGTCCTACAGGAACAGAAATGTAGGCTCTGCACTTATCACTTATGTAGTGTATATGTTCATATAGTACCCATATCGAGTTTGTAAGACAAAGAGAAAATGTGTTATTCAAGCACTCTGTTTGGAATTTATTATTATGTGTATCAAAGTAGTTGCAACTGACAAAATATTTTCTCTGATTGCCAGTTTAGATGCAAAGTCTACAAATATTCAAGTGATTGTTAAAGAAGGAGGCCTGAAGCTAATTCAGATTCAGGACAATGGCACTGGAATCAGGGTAAGTAAAGCCTGGGGGATTGGATTTGTGTGCTTCATCTCAAACCTCTAGGAAAATGCAAGAATCTCCCTAGCGTCATAACTTTAGTCTTTTTCAGAAAATATTTTTGATTGAAAGCTTTGTATTGGACATACCAGTAAATAAAATGGGAAAAAAATCCTTTGTTTTCTCCTGGTCGTGGGAGTCAGTAAATAGTGACCAGCATGTCAGATGGCATACAGTACTGTACAGAATGTAAAAGCTAGGAGGAAAATAGGACCAGAGAGTGGAAAGAGATGCAGTCTCCGTTTATTGGTGATTCAGGAGGAATATGGATGTGATATTTATGGAGAAAACCAATGGAGATCAAGGGGCAAGTTAGGAAACTGTTGAAAGGGTGGTTGTCATGGACAGAAATAACAATGAAGACAAAAATCATGAAGTTGAAGCATGCCTCATCTTGATGGACCAAATGAAATTTGGGTATGCATACAATTCCAGCACTTGAGAGGTGAAGGTTGGAGAATTAAGTTTGAAGCATCCTGGACTATATAGTGAGGCCCTGGGGAGAAAGACAGAAATGAGAGAGTATAGGTAGAGAAGAGATGTAAGGGTGGAGTCCCAGTGCTGGGAGGTGGGGACATGAACTGGAAACTGCCTGACACTGAGAAGAGCCACTTAGTAAAGAAGGTGGAAATCCAGGTCCTGTGGTATTTCAGGTACCAAATAAGGACGTTAGTACTAATTTAAACCTCTTCTGAGACTTTCTTCTCCGATGAAAGCAATAAAATGAAAACCCAGAAAGGTTCAGGAAAATGAGAGCCATGACTATTTACTCTCCCCTCCCCCCCACTCCCCAATCCTGCAGAAGGAAGATCTGGACATTGTGTGTGAGAGGTTCACCACAAGTAAACTGCAGACTTTTGAAGATTTAGCCAGTATTTCCACCTATGGCTTTCGGGGTGAGGTAAGCCACGGCTTGAAGAAATGTATAAAATGCCCTCCTGTGATAACATTGTCATTTCTCAACAGAGGCAAATGAAATCTAATACTTTGTGTTTATTAAATACATGTAAATTGTAACAAATTTAGCTTTCCAGGACAGAGAACTTTTCAAAAATACTAGATATACTGTTTTATCTACAGAGGCACTGGATACCACTTGTCTCTTTATAAAAGTCCCTTTATACCACCTATGAAGTTTTATCAAAAAATCAAATGTGAATCTGATCAACACTTTCATCTGCATACCAGTGTATGGAAAATATAGGGGCATGTAGGAATGGTATCGTAAACTGGGATTAGAAAACTGCATATAATAGACTCAACCTGTAAACTGCACAGGAATAAAGAGCAGAGAAGAGCAAGGACCTGCAAACTTTGGCATTTGAAGGGCCTGAGGATCCACCCAATTTGATCTCTCTCTCTCTCTCTCTCTCTCTCTCAGATCTGCCTGCTCTGTCTCCCCAGTGCCCCCACACTCATAATTCATTGAATCTTATCTAGATACTAATTTGAACAAATGGTGATTGTTTTTTCTTTTTCAAGGCAGAAATATTTGAACATATTAGTTATTTGGCAGTATTTAGTTTTCTTAGAAAAATTGGGATTGAGTTTTTATGTTGAAATGTGTATGGATAAATGTCTAGGGATATATGAAATAGAAAACAAAAGTGTTTTAGAAACTAAAATGAGAATCTTCTGGGTACTGGTTAGTTTTTTGTCAACCTTCTGATGCAGGGTAGGTTCTTCTGGGAAGATGGAACCTCAGTCAAGAAAATGCCCCCATAAGATTGTCTGCTGTGGGCAGTGCTGGGCTAGTAAGAAAGCAAACTGAGCAAGCCAGGGAGCAGTGTTCCTCCATGGTCTCTGCTTCAGTTCCTGCCTCCAGGTCTCTGCCTCAGGCTCCTTCCTAGCTTCCCTTCACGATGGATAGAGATTGGAATGAGTAAACCAAATCTGCCCTTTCCTGCCCAGGTGGCTTTTGGTCATGGTGTTTCATGACAGTGTGCCTGTTTTTATGATTCCATTCCTTACAGAGGCTGCATGGTTTGTGCATACATTCCATGTATGACTGTAGTTTAAGTCTTGGTTTCTTGTTGAACGTTTAGGCTGTACATTTTTTCCTTATGGAGACTTTAATGAATACTTGTGCACAACACTGTGTTTTGTTTAGTTATTTCCTTAGGATAAAATTGTTCAAATAACATTCCTAGGTAAAAATACATGTTTTAAAACTATCAATAGGGGTATCTTTTTTTCTTTTCCTTTCTTTTTTTCTTTTTCTTTTTTTTTTTTTTATTCCCTTTTTTTTTTTTTTTTCTTTTTTTTTTTTTTAATTTTTCCAGATGGGGCTTCTCTGTGTAAATTTGGTTGTCCTGAAACTCATGCTGTAGACTAGGATGGCCTTGAACTCACAGAGATCTGCCTGCCTCTGTGTCCCAAGTGCTGGGATTAAAGGCTTGTGCCACCACTGTCCAGCTCAAATAGGGGTATATTGTCCCCTCCCTTCCAAATTACCACAAAGTTAATGCTCTAAAACAGCATTTCACTGTATAGTTCTGAAATCAGAAGATGTGTCAGATATGGCAGAAATTCCAGTTTGGGTAGGGTACTGTCCCTCTCAGGAAGCTCTATCGGTGTAATGAATTTGTGAGAAGTGAATTAAATGAGAGAAGAAAAGGAACATGTTTTCATTTGGGGGCCTCTGAGTGTTTTCATCAAAGGCTGTGGTGGTTTGAATAAGATGGCCTCCATAGGCTCACATAAGTGAATGCTTAGTCACCAGCGAGTGTAACTGTTGGAAAGGATTAGAAAGGCTAGGAGGTGTGGCCTTGTTGGTACATGGTGAGGTCTCAAAAGCCTCTGTGAGGCCCAGACTCTCCTCTCTGCTTGAGGATCAGGATGTAGCTCTCAGCTGCTCCTCCAACACCATGCTTGCCTGCCTGCTGGCAGGCTTGCTTACAGTTTCAAGGGTTATTAGTCCATTAACTTCATATATGGATGGGAGTTTAAATGCTTTCTTTTTAATGAGTTGCCATGATCATGGTATCTCTTCGAAGCAATACAAGTGACTAAGGCTGTTTAGGTCAAACCAGGATAGTCCCAAGTACCCTCTTGCTCACAGTGACTGGAAAATTGTTCTCAGTAGACTGTTTCTAAAAGGCTCACCTTGCAGCTGTCTGGTTAGGTTATGGGAAGGTGGTCTCATCCTAGCCACAACTCTGTGGGCCATTTTCTAAGCCCCGGCCTCCTGAACCCTTAGTCTAACTCTGAGTTACCGAATAATTAGACAGGAGATATATTATATATTGAAGGATGTTCTCAGGACCCTTTGTGAATTAGCTCTTCTTTCTTCCAATAGCCGGACAGTATAGATTGACCATTTCCCTGATTCACGTGATGAAACTGACACTGGATATGTGAAACACCCAGTCTCTGACACTCTAGATAATGAAAAAGTGGAGAGAGAATCTAGGCATTCTGCCCCCAGAGTCTACGTTCCTGTCTACTTGAAAAGGCTCCTTCTAAATCAGCAGGGCTGTCTGCTGTGCTGTGTTTATTGGCCCACTTCCTGAAAATACATAAGATTGTCTCCTATGAGCAGGCCTTGCTTTACACAGGTCTCTATATTTAAGATTTGAACCAGGTCATTATCACCCTGCTTAGCCTTGAACTCCTTATGTCCTGAGGCTGGTCTTAAGCTCCTGATTTTCCTGCTTTTACCTCCAAAATACTGGAATTACAAGCTGCACTACCACCTGAGCTCAAGTTTTGGTTTTTGTTTTGTTTTGTTTTTTTAATAAAAAAGCCTGCTTCATATGTCAATCCCAGCTCCCTCTCCCTCCCCTCCTCCCCCACCCCTGAGCTCAAGTTTGTAAGTGTTGAAAATTATATAAGCCAAGCTGGGTACAATGGTACATGCCTATAATAGCGGTACGTGGAAGCTAAATGGGACAGTTGAGAGTTTGAGGCCAGCCTGGCTACAGAGGGAGAAAGAGATAGATTACACAACCTGGGAAATCTGGTGATAATCAAGTAATCTCTCTGCCTAAAGCATATTATTCCCTTTTTTGTTCATTGGTTTTTGACACGGGGTCAAGCTCTCTTGCTGATCTCAAGCTCCTGGGTTCAGGTGATCCTCCTGCCTTAGGTACCCAAGCAGAGCCATGTTCCTTTTAATAATTGAAACTGCCTCAGCTGTAAAGATCTTGCACAGACCCATTGTGACAAATTTAAATTCATCTTTTTAAAAAGTGTAATTGTTTCTATAAAGCAGTTTTGAGAAATCTTGTTTTTTTCTTTCTGAAGGCACATTTTTAATTTCTTGGAAGATACTGAAAATATATTAAATATGAAAAGTGTTCCCTAGAGACCCATGCACTGAAAGTGTGATCCTCAGTTTGTTGTTATTGGGAGATTATTGAGGATAAAGGGAGAGGATAGTGAGCACTTCCTGGTCCTTTTCTGTTTGGCCTCTGTGGATGTCAGGTGTGAGTGGCTTTGGTCTCAATGATCTCCATGCCATGATGAATTTCATCAGCGTAGTACCAAAGCATCAGGGCCTACTGACCATCGAGTGGGTTCTCTAAAACCATGAGCTACAGAGAAGCCTTTTGTCTGTATATTGGTCACCTCGTATATTGTTAAGGTAATGGGAAACTGTCCAGCACGGTCCCTGTGTACCAGCATGAGATACAGTTGCTGTTAACACAGGAAGTATTGGTGTGATTCCTTCTGGAGTTTTAATGTATGCTTTCCCTTGTTTTAGTAATTACCCTATAAACTGGATTTTATCTCTTTTTCCTAGAGCATCATCAAATTGTTCATTGGTACAACATTAATGTAGATCAAAAGAGACTTTTGATGAAGCAACAGTTTTTCTTTCATCTCTTTCCTTCCCTCCCTAGGCTTTGGCAAGTATAAGCCATGTGGCTCATGTTACTATTACAACCAAAACAGCTGATGGAAAATGTGCATACAGGTATGTGCTGATGACTTTTGTGAGGTATTGGGTCTCAGTGTGACCCTCCCTAAATGTAAGTGTTACTTTGTTGTTGTTATTAAGACATTAGTTTTCTTCCCTTCGTATGGATAAAGTGTTCATCCACAGGGATAATCGTGGTACTCTTTCTTCATGGCTTCTTTTTCAATTTTAAAATAATTTATTTTATGTGTATGGTTATTTTGACTGCTTGCATGTCTGTATACCAAGTATATGTCTGGTGCCTTTGGAGGCCAGAAGAGGGTGTGAGGTCTGGGACTGAGTTACAAATGATTGTAAGCTGCCATGTGAATTCTGGGGATAGAATCCAGGTCCTCTGGAAGTTTCCAGGTCATAAGATGCTCCTGTAAAGGGTTAGTGAAACTCCTTTCTTCACCTTTTCTCTTTGGCCTCTATGCTCTGCTGGATGATCAGCCAGTGCTTTTAACAGCTGAGTCATCTCTCTAGCCCCACTTTATGGCTTCTTAAGAGATAAGTTGTGCCAGGTGGTGGTAGCTAATGCCTTTAATCCCAGCACTTTGGAGGCAGAGGCAGGCGGATCTTTGTGAGTTTGAGGCCAGCCTGGTCTACAGAGCAAGTTCCAGGACAGCCAGGGCTACACAGAGAAACCCTGTCTCAAAAAACCAAAATCAAACAAAACAAGAAAAAGAAGAAAGCAGTCTGAGCAAGCCATGAGGAACAAGTCTGTAAGCAGCTCCCTCCATGGCCTCTGCATCAGCTCCTGCCTCCAGGTTCCTACCCTGCACAGTTCTTGTCCTGATTTCTTTGATGATGAACTGTGATGTGGAAATATAAACCAAATAAACCCTTTCCACCCCAATTTTCTTTAGTCATGGTGTTTAATCACAGCAATAGGAACCCTAACTAAGACTTCCCATATGTCCTGAACCCCTTTCCTAGCCCCTTCTTTCCACATGCTACCAGTGCCATGTGTTCTAAAATTCCTTACTCTCTGACTTATGAGATGGTTTTTCTTGCTCTAGTCTTTTGAACCTATTCCTCCTCAAAGCCTGGATGAATTCCTTCTTTTCTCTGATGCTATCACCTACCTAGCTGCTCCCCCAACCCCCCCAAACCAGGCTGAAGGGTTCTTTTTGCTGGATCACTTAGCACATTGGTCTATACATGGATAAAATGACTGTCCCTGTGCCAGATGAAGAACTAGTTTGTTTGTGGAATATTGTATTTTGTTTTGTTTTGTTTTTGAGACAGTCTTACTGTGTAGCTCTGGCTACTGGGAACTTGCAATGACCTTGCTGCTTTTGTCTCTCAAGTGCCTGCAATTACAGGTGTACATTGCTGTTGCTGGCTAAGTACTTTTTAAAGACTCAGGACCTCAGCAGGCAAATGGTGCGGAACTGCAGCAACATTTAAAGTTACCTTAAGCAATGGCAAAATTGTTGGTTAGGAACTCAGAATTTAACAGCTCAGGCAAGATTTGCTGTAATAGGGCTTTAAAATCCAATTAATATATAACATGGCTATGTTATAATGTATTGATAACATTTTCATTTTTAAAGTGTGGTAATATGGACCAAATCCAGGTAATAGACACAATTATGAAAGAGATTAGAAAATGCACTGTTTTACTAGTTCTGTTGTGGATTTTTGTTTCGGGTGGTGGATAATATGTGAAATATATTTGTACTGAAGGTGTCAAATTTAATGTGAAGCTCCACAGCTCACCCCTCACTGTCTGTTCTAACTATGTAGAAGTTCATTGAGCTACATAGACTTTGGGCTTGGTGAATTTTGGTGTATGAGGTTTTATTTATTTGTAAGCTTTTTTAAAGAGTGATGTTTGTCATTTGAAATGTGGAGTATTAATGTATTTGTTGTTTTATGTAGTTCAGGAACTTGCAAGGTATTTCCAGTGTTGGGATTATAGATATATGCTACTATGCCTATACTGTGATTTTTGTATTTATGCTGTGGATAAGCATCCTGTTAGATACTAATAATCTTTCCTGTTTTCTGACTAGGGCAAGTTACTCGGATGGAAAGTTGCAAGCCCCTCCTAAACCATGTGCAGGCAACCAGGGTACCCAGATTACGGTAAGAGTGGAACATGGGAATAAAACTGGTGACAAACAGCTTAGTGGGAATGCTGAATAAAAAAACATAACCAAATGGGCTCTGAGTTTCTGGTGTAAAAAAAAAAATAAATAAATAAATTTGAACTTGTAATAGAAGCCCCAAGATACCTAAGCTTCTAAGTAAGAAAAAACGATTATTGGGTTTTATAACATGGTAGCCTGTCTACCTTCTTGTCTTTTGTGAGGAGCTGGGATGGTAAAAATCAGTGGCAGAGTAGTTGGTATTGAAAAAACATTATGGTTGATTCTAGAAGACATGGGTCAGAGTCCCTGTCTTCTTTCAGTGCTTGTGTATTCATAGGCAATGCATTTAACATCTCAGAATTTCAGTTTCCAGTGTCCCCAGTGGAACAAAGAATTCCCTCCGGTCTGCCTCTCGGGGCCTTGGGTAGGTGGTGTGAGTGTTGTTAGTCAAGAGGAAACCATCAAGAATCTTATCATAGCATCTCCGTGTCTTTCCAGTCTGGGATCCCATAGAGTACCTCACTGTCATGTTACACACCTCTGGACCTTTTACTCCTGACCCCAGCTGTAGTTCATCCTAAGTCCTGGGCATGATAGGCAGGCAGGAGGCAGGAAAAATTCGTGCTTCAAAATGCTGGCTAGCTGGATGAAGCCTTAGCTACATACATAGTGTGATTGTTGATAACTCCAAATTACCTCCAGAGTTGTATGATTGACTTTAGTTTGAAAGCTGTCTCTGAATACCATGTAAAATAGTAATTGATTGTAGAGTTATATTCATGGCCTCCTAAATTGTCTACTTTCTTGAGCAAGACAATTTTGAATGTCCTCATATTTTTAGCCCTTTATATTTCTAACAAACAGCGTGCCATAGAGCCATCCCCATTATCTATTTGAGAAGTCAGTGAATGTGGGATTCAGGAAAAATACCCTTTAATCCCTTTGTTGATGTTTCCTTATCCTTTACCCTCACCGAGTAAGGACTTAGGACATTGCTGTTGGTAATGTCCCTGGATTCACCACCTTGAGATCCAGCTTTAGGTAGACAGTCAAAGCTTTCCACGTACATCCATGAACTTGTAAGACAACTGGATCTCTCTTCAGGTGGAGGACCTTTTTTACAACATAATGACAAGGAGGAAAGCTTTGAAAAATCCAAGTGAAGAGTATGGGAAGATTTTGGAAGTTGTTGGCAGGTACTGTCCAAAAATTGGGAGTGAGTCCTTGAGCTCTGCACTAAAGGACTGTGCCCAGTGCTTGTAAATTGGGAGTGCTTGAAAGCTAGGTGTAGACAACAAAGCTGACCCACCTGCTGTTCTGCTCCCAGTTTGCTCAGCAGTCCTGAGTTTGACTTATCTTGCCGAGGGGGGGGGGGTCTGGTGTACAGTTGCTCTCTTTTGGTTGGGGGTTCTTTGCTGGTAGATGAAACAAACTGATCTTAGCTACCTTGAGCCAAAAAGAAATCACTGAACAGTTGCTCACTGGGTAGGAAGAGGTAAGACGGTGACTGGAGAGCCTCCTGTTCTCTTCTGCCTCCACTTTGAAGTCCTGCCCTGGACAGTGCTATGATTGGCATTATTGGGATCCATGGCTCTGTACACACAGCTCTGGGAAAACTTCTTGGTTGCCATCTTAGCATGCCTTGGGAAGAATGGGATAAAAGGAGTTTCCCAAAGCAACTTGGAGGCTGTTAACAGAAGGGGACTCAGAGCAGCTAAAAGCGGAATTATGTTTCAATAATGGTAATATATTGGTACAAATGGCTACAGCAGGGGCTTTGAACCCAAGTGTCTTTGTTTTTTTTGTTTTTAAGTTTATTTATTTATCATGTATACAGTGTTCTGCCAGCATGTATGTTTGCATGCCAGAAGTGAGCATCAGATCTCATTACAGATGGTTGTGAGCCACCATGTGGTTGTTGGGAATTGAACTCGGGACCTCTGAAGAGCAGCCAGTGCTCTTAACCTCTGAGCTATCTCTCCAGCCCATAAAGATAGCTTTTTTTTTTTTTTTTTTTTTTGAGACAGAGTTTCTGTGTAGCAGCTCTGGCTGACCTGGAACTTGCTTTGTAGACCAGGCTGACCTTGAACGCACTGAGACCCACCACCTAAGTGCTGGGAATAAAGGCATGTGCCACCACTGCCTGGTGTCTTTGAATCTTAATAGTTGTTTGTGTCAACTGTCTTTCAGTATATCTAAAATACATTTGTCCATACAGGAACTGGTTTATGTATTAGGTCCCTTAGCCCTCTCCATTCCCTCTAGTGCAGTTATATAAATCAATGTCAAAAATATTCTCAGTGATTGTTTTGGTTCTAAGTGTAGTAAGGTGGAAAATTGTTATTTAATAAATGCATTTCACTAAACACAGTTCTTCAGTTCATGGGGTTGGTGAACAGAGAAGTAATAAAGTCATCTTCAGAAAGGCTATGGAGATACTGGAACAGGACCCAGCAGCCTGGAAAAAGCAGTGGGGCGGCCAAGTGATGCCATGAAAATAATCCTGCAGGGTCATATTGTTTGACTTAGTCGCATTTGGCATTGGTGTCTCCATGAGACTGTTGCTTTGTTTTCTTGTGGTCAATATAGGTTATACCAAAGTATTTTGATTGTACATGTCTTTGTTTAAGTCACCTTTTTCTTATGAATCTACCAATTTATTTAATTAAAAGTAGATCTCTGAATTTATTATGCTTTTGACTACCATCTGCTTAGCTTTAACCCTTTCTTTTCCAGGTATTCAATACATAATTCAGGCATTAGTTTCTCAGTTAAAAAAGTAAGTCATGATTTTTTTTCAAAATATATATTCCTTTTTGTTTTATATGTACAAATATTTTCCCTGCATGCATTTCTTTGTACCATGCGCATGCCTGGTGCCCACAGAGACCAGAAGAGGGCATCAAATCCCCTGGAACTAGAGTTATGGATGGCTGTGAGTGCCATGTGGATGCTGGAAAAAGAACTTGGGACCTCTGCAAGAGTAGTAGCCAGCGTTGTCTAATGGCTGGTCCATCTCGAGTGCCTAAGCTATGACTTCTGAAAGACAGTTTATATTAGGAAAGAAAAGCAGATTTTTAAGGAAAGTCCTTCTTCTTAGGACTTTCAAGTCATCATGCTGTCTGTTTTTCAGCAAGGTGAGACAGTTGCTGATATCAGAACACTACCCAATGCTACAACAGTGGACAACATTCGCTCCATCTTCGGGAGTGCTGTTAGTCGGTATGTGAGTAGTCCACGTATAACAAAATCTTTCCAATTCTTTCCCTTGATTCATCAACCCATTGTATTATTTTGAAAATTGCCAAGATAATGGATGCTGTCAGAGTTGGTCTAGTCAACTTGTTTTCATGTTTCATGTTAGTTGATGCAGTCACTATCCCACATAATCAGTGCTCTCTGGGAGTTTTACCTCTTGAGTGCTGTGCCTGTAGATCTGCTTGTTCTTTTGGCCTTTGTTATCAAAATGTTTATAATTTATAATTCTGTTACCCTTGATGTTCCTATTTTCCTCTTATTGCATTATTACAGGATGAGGATTTAATTTATTTACCATTCAGCATTAGTTGCATTTCTTATTTGAAGTGAAATTTTCTGTTCTTAAGGACTAGATTTGCAGATGTTAGCAGCTGTCATTATCACAGAAGGCCGGAGAGAAGAATTTGCTTCTGGTTCTTCTTGAGCTCCCCTCTGTTTGTAAACCCAGCATTTCCCTCACAAGTTCCTTTCTAGGACTTCTGATTTGAACTTCACAAAGTCCCAAAGGCTCACACCACACCCCAGGTGACAATATTAAGATTCTTCCTATGCCAAGCATACATGAGGTACTCCTTGCACAGATGGAGCCAACTGGACCTGCCTTAGTTTTCCCCAAGTTCTCAAAAGCATTGGAAGTTGTCCTAATACTGAAATTTTGCTTCCAAGGACAAACTGTTTATTCTTTGGGTAAAACCAAGGGAACAAGTAGTTTGCTTGTCATCACCCTTTTCTTCCTAATTAAATGTAAATGAGTTAATATAAAAAACTGTATGTCTAGATCAAAGGAAAATCTCTGCATTCTACAGGATAACTTTTAAGAGCTTTTGACAAGATTCTAAGATGGAGCATTAGTCATGGAATTCCCAGAGGCTGTAAGAGTTTAGACATCATCCCTAGAGAGCATTTCCAGAAGTAGGCTTCCAAACTGGCCTGTGACATTGGAGGAAGAAAGGGTTTGTGGGTCAGTGTGTGTGTCCAACACTGCAGGCTTCACTGTGCATCCTAGGACTGAGGACATGTCACCCCAGGAAAAACAGCCCCGGTCTACACAGCAAGGTCCAGTGAGTGCTGTGCTGTGGTAGGGATACAGTGTGGACAGCTGGAGTGATTCTTGCTGTCTCAGGACTCTAGCTGGAAGGACATGAGATAATTATGCCATTCATTAGCAGACTGTACTGATGTGTCAAAGAAAACAGGACAAGAAGGAGAAATCTTTGGAGTCAATGAAGACTGGGGAAAAATGAAGGCTACTAGGAATTAACTAGCTGCCAACAGGTTCATTCTGAAAACTTAGGAAGAAATAAGTGTGGCTTTTCAGAGAGACAGACTGTTTACCTGTCCTTGCCAATAAACACTCTTGCAAACCTCATGATGGTGCTGTTCAGTACAGTAAAGATTCACGTCAAGAGAGATGAGTTTGGGGACTTAAAGCTTTGGGATTTAATTATGAAGGCTTAGACCCGTCTTACTTCTCAGTAGTTAAAGTAGTGCCCGGCACTCAACACAAGTACTTGAAAACGCTGAGTAGGTAGGTGGATAGATGGATAGACAGATGGTGAGTGGACTCATAGGACCTCAGCTGAACCTAGTCTCAGGGTTGTTGTTGTTTTTTGTTTGTTTGTTTGTTTTGTTTTTAGTTTGTGTGTTTTGGGTTTTTGTTTTGGTTTGTTTTTTTTGCAGACTTGGTTTATGGGACAGCCCTGTTTTTTCCTATTGTATAACATTTGAGATTTCTTATATTTTGAAAAATCTCAAAATTTCTCTTTTCTAAACAGAGAGCTGATAGAAGTTGGGTGTGAAGATAAAACCCTGGCTTTCAAAATGAATGGCTATATATCCAATGCAAACTACTCTGTGAAGAAGTGCATTTTCCTACTCTTCATCAACCGTAAGTGAGAAAGAGTAAAGTGTCTACACAGAGAGCTTTATGGAACCTGGAGAGTTCCTGACTCACAGGTTAGATTACACAGGGCAAACTTCATGTCAAGAGTTTGGCCTTGTTTTATCTTCAGTCTGGTTCTTTACCTTGAGCTGTGTAGGCTAGAATGCCTTCCTCATATGGTTACATCACAGCCTTTACAAGCAGGCCCCACTCTGCCCCTCACTCAGGGGCTGCTTTTCCACATTGTATAGCAGAAAACCAAGACTTGGTTTTATCACTAGACATTATCACTAGAGAGTTGAATCCTAAGACCCTTAAGAGTTTTTCTTTTAAAGAATTAAATTTATGGCACTAAGGATAATTATAGAAATCAAGGAAGAAATTAAATTACCTTGAAATAGTTTTTATCTCTCTGATGACCTATTAATTTCGTGAGTCTTATTAACTAGGTACTCTTTGAATTTTGGATTTGTGTAGCTTAATTGTATATTGCAAGGGTTTGATGGTACTAGAGTAACATTGCCCCCCAACCTTCAGCAGTCTGAACTTAGCTTCTGTTCAGATGCAAGAAGCGTTTTTCCAAGCATTTGATTTTCATATTCTTAACTTCAAAGTTTTTTTTTAAGCAAAATTGGAGTTTGCTAAGAATCAATTTTTGATACAGATTTAAGATGGATATTGAGAGAATGAAAGAGGAAGACTTAGAAAGAGGACAGCATACACCTAAGACATGAGTATAGACTTTTAAAATAAATTTATTTTTGGATTTATTTTGCATATATGAATGTTTTCCCTTCATGTATGCTTCTGCACCACGTGTATGCATGGTGCCTTTGGAGGCAAGAAGGCGTTGGATTCCCTGGAACTGGAGTTAAGGATGGTTGTGAACCACCATGTGTGTGTTGGGAACTGGCCTGGGCCCTCTACATGAGCAACAGGTGCTCTTAACTGCTGACCCATCTCTCCAGAAGGCATAGATACATTTACTTTGTTTCTTAATTTGCATACAGAGTAAAAGGTTTCATGGCATTTTCATGCATACTTTTTGTCTCTCCTCAGCTCCCCTCCCACTGCCTGTGCCCTTCGTGCCTAGTTGTTCCTTTTCCATTTTCATGTCACGGTCATCTATCCCATGCCACGTTTGTCTTCCTAAGTTAACTTAATTAACTTAGTTCCTGAGTTAACTCACTCACTATAATTTCCAGCTCAATTCGTCTTTCTGTAAGATTGATGATTTCATTTTTCTTTATGACTTAATAAAATTCCACTGTGTATATGGAACACATTTTCACGCTATATCTGGTGATAAACACCCTGGATGATTTATTTTCTTGCTATTGTAAATAGCGCAGCCAAGCATATGAATGCACATGTATCTCTGGTGTCTGTCAGGTTCTTTGCCTTTATTAGAAAGCACTTCTTCATGACTTTAGTTTTTATCTTCTTTGCTATTGGAAATTATGTATTTTCTTTCTTTCTTTTTTTTTTTTTTTTTTTTTTTGGAAATTTTTTTTTTTTTTTTTTTCTTTTTTTTTTTTTTTTTTTTTTTTTTTTTTTTTTTTTTTTTTGAGCAGTAAGTGGCTCTAAATGTCTCAAATTGTGCATCTTAAATTCTGTGTGTGTGTCTGTGTGTGTGTGTGTGTGTGTGTGTGTGTGTCTGTGTGTGTGTGTGTCTGTGTGTGTCTGTGTATGTGTGGTGTGTGCGTGTGTGTGTGTGCGTGTGTGTGTGTCTGTGTCTGTGTGTGCGTGTGTGTGTGTGTGTCTGTGTGTATGTGCGTGTGTGTGTGTGTGTGGTGTGTGTGTGTGTGTGTGTGTGTGTATGTGTGGTGTGTGTGTGTGTGTGTGTGTGTGTATGTGTGGTGTGTGTGTGTGTGTGTGTGTGTGTATGTGTGGTGTGTGTGTGTGTGTGTGTGTGTGTGCGCGCGCGTGCGCACACATGCACGGATGTGAGAGTCTGTGCCGAGAAGGGACTGTTGGGTCCCCTAGAGCTGGAGCTGCGGGTGGCTGTGAGCTGCATGGTGTGCGCTCTGGGGTCCTGTGTAAGAGCAGCAGCCGGTGCTCGACTGCTGAGCCACCTCTGTAGCGTCCGAGTTGTGTATGTTTCACAGCGGTTGTTCAGAGCAATCCAGGAACAGTGGTAAAAGAAAAGTAAAAAGTAAAAAGCCCAGAGGCAAAACATAAAGAGAAATGGGATAATTTAAGTTAGAAAAGCTGGCTAGAAACAAGACAAGCTAAGGCCAGGCATTCATAAGTAAGAATAATTCTCCATGTATTTATTTGGGAGCTGGATGGTGGGTCCCCAAAAAGTAAAACAACCAACTATAGGAACCCTCATATTGGAACCCCTTTGACAGAGTTAGCTGCTCTCTGACCTCATGTCTGTCACACATACTCTGTTGTCCTGTTGGACACTTGGCCAGAATTAGTTATTCACCATTGTGGTATCTGTCAGCACTTGGCATGTGTGGTTGGTAGCTTTGTCTTTGTGTATTGAAACATCTGAGAGCTTCTGAGGTCCAAAGATAGCAAAGCTATTATACAGGAGTTGATGTGGGGGGTAGGAAGAGCCAGAATTGGGTACTCTCTCATTCTTTCTGCTGCTTGGATGAGAGGAAGAGCCCCAAACCTGAGGCAAGATGCTGAAAATTTGTGACAGATAAAGATGTTACTCCAGTTCTTCACAAGGTGACTTCATTACCATGTGTGACTATGCACCTGTGACCTCATCTTAAAGGACAGTTTTGACCTGGTTACTCTCCTTTTCTTTTTCAGACCGGCTGGTGGAATCAACTGCCTTGAGAAAAGCCATAGAAACTGTATATGCAGCATATTTGCCCAAAAACACACACCCATTCTTATACCTCAGGTAATGGAGCAGCTCTGAGACAGACTCCTCAGTGTCCCTCTGTGAAAGACATTGCCTAGCAGTGTTCAGCCAGGGCAGGTCCTGGGCACTGCTGGTGCCAGATGCTCTGTCCTTCCCCACAGGAAAATGACACAGTTCTACTTAGGGAGTCTGTGGTGGTTCCTTCCTGCTGGGGTCATCCTACCCTGTGGGGAGTCTTTAAACATTTTAAAGGATTTTTTATTTGTTTATTTAACTGGAGGAGAGAGAGGGAAAAGTGAGCCTGGGGCACAGAACACATGTGGAAGTCAGAAGGCACATTCGTGGGGTCCATTTTCTCCTTTCATCTTTATGGGGATTCTGGTTGGTTGGCCTGCTTGGTAACCGCCCTTACCTACCTGTCTTCCTGTAGGGTTCTTGTCTTACCTTGTCAGATCCCAGTGGCTCACTTAAATGATTTGGCAGTCATGTTTCAGTTATCACACATAGTTTAGGGCTTGCCTTATTCAAACCAAACCCCATAGTGCTTTAAAAAAGAAAAAAGTCAGGGTCTCTCTGTTTCTTGTTCTGCTTATCTGAAAAAGCCTTTTTAAAAACCAGCACGCAAAATACCATTCATTCTCTTTGCAACAAGGCTACCCAAGGGCCCAGTTCATACTGAGATCCTTCTGGAAGAAACTATGGTGGAAAGTTCATTCTCAATACTCCTATAAACCCAGCATTTTTTGGAGAATTTTAAGTTCCAGGCCAGTGTAGCAAGACCCTGTCTCCAAAAACATTTTCTTTGTTCTGATCTCACTGAAAAATGAGTGGAAGTAAAAACCATGGTTCAGAATGGTTTTTAGATGAGATCAGGTATGTTCAGGGTATTGTGGTCATAGACTAAAGTAGTTTTTAGATTTAATGTGCAGTTGTTCATTCCATCATGTGTTTCCTTGCTGGGTAATGAATCTGTAATGTCATCAACATGGTCTGTCTTAGTACGAGGCAGGATCTAAACAGGAGATAGGAATCATGCAACAGAACAGGGAAAGTTTAATGAAACAATTGCATACTGAATGCAAATCAGGGAGTTGAACAAACAGTAGAAGAGTGACAGGAAAAACAGGTGCAGAGAGCAGCCGTTCCGGGGCTGGGGTATTAATAGAGCCTCTTGCTTTCCATCCTTCACCACCCCTGTGCCGAGATAAGGCCCCTGGTGAAAGAGTGTGACTGTGGCTTGCTTGTACTGAGGAGAAGTGTATGAGGCAGATCTACACACTAAGGAACTGTCGTGGGGGTGTACTGCCCAAGGAGAAATGACTTGCCGGCTGCTTTGTATGTGAAAAGTCTGACAGACTTGCTCCCAAAACTGGCTTAGGGAACCCTTCCTGTCGCCCCATAGTGGTCTTTACTGACAGAGCTTTATATCACAGAGCTCCATTATCAGCCAGCCATGAAAGATGGACTTGGAGCAGGGGTAAGAGCTCTGCATTCACTATCACTTCCTTTGTGTCTTTTTTTCCCCCTGAAAAATGAAGAGGGGCAGTTTGACAGTTACCCTGTCTTTAAAGCTGAGAAAACATCCAGAGAAGTTAGGTCCTGGACTGAGATGACAATCCCGTAGTTCCAGAGTGCTGACAGCTGACGTGGAATAACTGCCATACTCATGTAGGGTGCCCTGTGCAGACTAAATTCCCACTGTAATCTGTGCAAATGAAACTGAGGCCAAGGAAAGTGATGCAGTTCCCTGAAAGCCGCACAGCTCCTCGGTGTCAGAGATGGCATCGAATCTCTCTGACTTGATCTTAAGGTTTGAGGTCATGGCTCCACATTGTCTGGTTATCACATGTAGGTTTTTCCCATCTTTTGTGGTCTTTCTCTCTTCATGCCAGTTTGGAAATCAGTCCCCAGAATGTAGATGTCAATGTGCACCCCACCAAGCATGAAGTCCACTTTCTGCATGAGGAGAGCATCCTGGAGCGGGTGCAGCAGCACGTTGAGGGCAAGCTGTTGGGCTCCAATTCGTCCAGGATGTATTTCACCCAGGTGAGGACACCTACCTCCACTGTCTCTCTGGGCCTCTGCTGCTTTCAGATGTGTTCCATGGATGAAAACTCAGAGTTTTTGTTGTAATTTTAAACTATCTTTGTATTACTTTGATAGTTTTCTTTCAGTAACATTTCTCTGGGATTTATGTGGTGTGTGTGTGTGTGTGTGTGTGTGTACCATGCACATGTGTGCAGATCATGCATCTACACACTTGTATGCAGAAGCCAGAGCAGAATGTTGATTATTTTTTTCTGTCTCTTTATGGCCTTGAGATTGGCTTTCCCTGAACTGATGCTCTTTGAGCAAGGCTGAGTGGCAAGTGGGCTCTGAGGAGCTGCCTATCTCTGCCCCAGTGATTGGGTAATAGCTGCTGTAGCCAGGTCAGACCTGGTGTTGGGCATTTGAATCGGGTCCTCGTGCTTGCACCGCAGATGCTCCTACCACTGAGCCATCCTCCCAGCCCCTCCTCTGCATTGTGTTGTCTTCCAAGAAAGCTGTTCCCTTTTGAATAGAGCTGTTACTTTGAATCTTTATGCATATTTCTAAGCACACATAAAATTAAATAGTACATGTATCTATTACCCAGCTTTAACAACATCAGCCTTTTGCCGTACTGGTTTAGCTATTCCTATCTTGCTTAGTGAAGGGAAAAGTATAGCTGAAAGTGCATTTTAGACATTTATTTCTTCCTTAATACTTCATTATACATATAAAAAGTTTTTTATATAATCATAATATAAATGCTATACATAATAAAATTAATAGCAATAGCAGCATTTACTATTCTATATTCAAATGTTTTAATTATCAAGAAGTCTGTTTAATACCAGCAGTGTTCAAATCTGTATCTACTTATGTTCCAGTCATAATGTTTGGTTGTTACATTTTTTGAATCTCTTAAGTTGGCTCTTTCTCTCAATCCATAGATAGATAGATATAGATTGGAGGGGGTAGATAGGTGGAAAACAGGGTTTCACAGCCTAGGCTGGCCTTGTAGCTGAGGACCTTTAAACTTCTGATCCTCCTGCTTCTGCCTCCCAAGAACTGGGATTACAGGTGTGTGCCAGCAGCCCTGCCTTCCCTTAAGTCTAGTCCCTTTGAATTAAGCCACTCTTTCATTATCTGGGGGGGGGGGGGGGGTTGCACATGTGCTATGGTGAGCATGTGGAGATTAGAAGGTAACTTTCAGAAGTCAGTTCTTTCCTTCTAGCATGTGACTTAACAGGGATTAACTAAGGTTGTGAAACTTGGCAACAAGCACAGTGGCCCACTGAGCCATCTTGCCAGCCCCAGGTTCTCCTTTTTTAAATTGCTGTTCTCATTGACTTCTCTAGGTTTCCTATAGCATAATGTACATTTGGATTGGCTGATTGTTTCTCTGTGGTGTTATTTAACTCTCACTGGTCCTCTGTATTGCCTTTGAGTTGGAAATCTAGAGGTATAACTATATTCAGACACAAAACATTCTTTTTGTTTAATTAATTTATTTAATTAAATATTAATTTAAGATGTATGTATGCATGTTTGTGTGTCAGATGCTGTCGGATCTCCTGGAGAGACAGACAGCTGTGAGCTGCCGTGTGCGTGCTGGGAATTGAACACAAGGCCTCTGGAAGAGCAGCCAGTGATCTTAATTGCTGAGTCATCTCTCAGTCCCTCAAAAACTTTCTTTTGCCTAGAATCTTTTTACTTGTAAATTTTGTTCATTATAGTTGGGGGCATATGCCTTCTAGAAGAAGGCATAGACTTCTCACCCTCCATCACAGTGAGTCTTGGGGAGTTCAGTGGACTCTCACAGTGGGATTGGTATTTGGTAACTAGAATCTGGGACCTGGGGTTTCCACTGCTGTGTAGTCACTGATATTTTTAAGACTCCAGTGGACAGAATAAAGGAATTAAGTGCATTTAAAAGTAGAACTCTGAGGCTATAGTTCGGTGGTAGAGTACTTGTTTAGCATGTGAGAAGCTTGGGGTCAGTTCCCTGACATTAAAAGAGCAAACAAACAGTAGAACCGTAGACTCTCCTGTGATGAGGAGAGATGGAAGTTGAGTGTGAGTTGGGAGGGGTGAAAAGTTCTGGGGATGGATGAACAGCTCTGTGAGTGTATTCACCACCATGGTGTTCTAGCTTAAAAAGGTTAAAATGGTATGTTTTATGCTGTGTGTGTTTTATCATAAAAAATAAAATAGAACCTTCATTTCAACCTGATTTTAAGATTATAATAACTTTGCTTAATTTTTGAATGTTACGCTCCTAAACGTTTTAAATCCCTTTAGTGGAATTGGCTCCTGTACTGATAACTGTACTGATAACTCTGTTTGGCTATGATGTGTTCATCCAGTACTGTTCTTTTTGGGGTATCTGAACATTGATGTGCTAAAGTCTGGCCCTTTCTTCTGTCTTCTCTTCTGAAACAGACCTTGCTTCCGGGACTTGCTGGACCCTCCGGGGAGGTGGTTAAATCCACAGTGGGTGTGGCTTCCTCATCTGCTAGTGGAAGTGGTGACAAGGTCTACGCTTACCAGATGGTCCGCACAGACTCCCGGGACCAGAAGCTTGACGCCTTTCTCCAGCCTGTGAGCAAGGTTCTGCCCAGCCCACCCCAGGAGCCTGTCCAAGAAGACAGGACTGACATGCAAAAGGACGTGGAGATGTTGGAGCTCCCAATCCCCTCTGAAGCAGCTGCCTCAAGTCAGAACTTGGAGGATACGGTACAAGGGGTTGCAGAAGCGGCACAGAAAGCAGCAGCCCCTTCCAGTCCAAGCAACCCCAGGTGTGGCCTCCTCTGTTCCTCACTAAAACTGTCTTCTAGCAGGTTCTCATAAATCAGTTGTGCCTTGGACTAGACTGGGACAGTTCTCTGGCCTTGTATACTGTCTGCATTTAACAGTGGCTCACATGGTTCCCTGTGAGAGCTCTTAAACGGCAGTAGCTTATGTCTTAGTTAACACAAGGAGCACAGATGCAGCTTTTGGGGTTTGTTTCGTTTTAAGAGTTCATTTATTATATACAGTGTTCTACAGCTTTTGAGGTTTGTTTTGATTTAAGAGTTTATTTATTTATTATATACAGTATTCTATGTGCATGAATGCTTGCAGGCCAGAAGAGGGCACCAGATCTCATTACAGATGGTTGTGAGCCATCATGTGGTTGCAGGGAATTGAACTCAGGACCTCTGGAAGAGCAGACAATGCTCTTAACCTCTGAGCCATCTCTCCAGCCCCCAAGCAGCTTTTGGTTTTAATAAAGCATTTTGACAAACCCTTGACACCGGAGAGGACTGAAGAGAAAAGCCTAAAATGGCTCTTCCATCCTCATCACAGCTGCTGTTGCTCCTTCCCAAAAAGCCCACTTTACAGAATTCCCTGAAGTTCATGAGCCCATGGGAAAAGTTAGTGTAAGAGCTTTAGAAATAAAAATGCCATTTAACCTTGAGCATTTCTAGTGCATGCTCTAACAAGTTCCCAAATCCTTAGTTCCCCTGAGGCTCCTGAGGTGCTGGTAATGACCTACTGCTCAATTTAAAATCACTTGCCTGAGGTGCATGTTCTCTTAGAGTGCCATCAAGAACGACAGCTTCTAAGGAAGTTTCTCCAGAGAATAAAATGATGCAGGTGTTTTTCAAGCATGGGTACTTTATATGTGTCTACTTAATGCTCTTGCCCTGCCAAGGGTTATTCCATTTGCTCACCATTTGGGGGACTCTGCTACATTCATGACAGGTAGTCACAAAACCTTTAAAGCAAAAACAGGGTTATATTCCTCCCGCTGAAAGCCTTTCCAGGGCTCCCTGACAGCCTGCTCTCACCTGCAGTACTGTACCACATGACTCTTGTGGCTGGCCTGGACTGGCTGGCCTTCTTAGATCATTTTACTGCCCTTGGTGTTCCTCAGTCTAGAAGACCCTACTCTTGCCACTCATGTCTCAACTCAAATGTCACCTTTTCCCACAGGCTTTCTGTCTTGGTTACTTTTCTATTGATATAATGAGATACCATGACCAAGGCAACTTATAAAAGAAAGCATTTAATTCAGGGCTTGCTTATAGTTCAGAGGGTCAGTCCATGATCGTTAAAGTAGGAAGCATGGGAGTAAGCAGGCAGACAGGCATGGTGCTGGAGCGGTAGCTGAGAGCTTCCATATGATCTACAAGTTGGAGGTGGATTGTAGAGAGACGAGGCCTGTTGTGGACTTTTGAAACCTCAAACCCACCCCCAGTGAGATACCTCTTCCATCAAGACCATATCTCCTAATTTCCCCCAACTGGGAACCAAGTATTCAAATGTATGAGCCCATACATTGTCCATTCAAACAGATCCTTTCCCTCTTATATTCCTACCAGTCTATTATGTAACCTTGTATTTTCTTCCTAGCATCTGCCATTAAAACTTGTCTAGGACTAGAAAGATGGCTCAGCAGTTAAGAGCACTGGCTGGTTTTTTTTTTTTTTTTTTTTTTTTTGCTTTGTTTTGTTTTGTTTTGTTTTGTTTTGTGTTTTTCAAGACAAGACAGGGTTTCTCTGTGGCTTTGGAGGGTGTCCTAGAACTAGCTCTTGTAGACCAGGCTGGTCTCGAATTCACAGAGATCCACCTGCCTCTGCCTCCCAAGTGCTGGGACTAAAGACTGTGCGCCACCACCGCCCTGCGGAGCACTGGCTGTTCTTACAGATGACCCGGGTTAAAGATGACCCAGAACATGGCGGATCACAGTTGTCTATAACTCCACTCCCAGGAGATTCGGTGCCCTCTCCGCCATCTACAGGCATCAAGAATGCATGTGGTGTGTAGACATACATGCAGGCAAAACAGCCATATACAAAATACAACTTTTTAATTAAGCATTTAAAATTGGATTTGGAAAGTTTTTCTGTTGCTAACTTTCCCACTAGAAAGTAAGCATGAGGGCTTTCCCTTTTTAATGTGTTCACTGCTCTATGTAGTTGGTTCAGATCAGTATCAGATGGCTGGGAGGATGGACAGACAGATCTTGGGATGATTTTTGAGTGAATGAGGCTTGACATGGTCAATTTACTTGGTCAAGGCCCTTGAAATCTGAGGGCTGTCAGATAAGGAGTGTGGCACAGGACAGCTGCTGGCCTGCCCCAACACAGCGTGTGAAAGTGGCCAGTGGCACACACAAGCTGCTCCTTTCTCTGAACTTGAACACATATATTGGCTGAATTAAAAAATAAAATGGAGCTGGGCAGTGGTGGCGCACTCCTTTAATCCCAGCACTCAGGAGGCAGAGGCAGGAAGATCTCTTGAATTTGAGGCCAGCCTGGTCTACAGAGCGAGTTCCAGGACAGCCAGGACTACACAGAGAAATCCAGTCTTGGAAAACTAAAAAATAAATAAAATGGAAAAATAATGACCTGTCAGTTCTTTCCTTTGATTTCAGAAAGAGACATCGGGAAGATTCTGATGTGGAAATGATGGAAAATGACTCCCGGAAGGAAATGACAGCTGCTTGTCACCCTCGGAGGAGGATTATTAACCTCACCAGTGTGTTGAGTCTCCAGGAAGAAATTAATGAGCGCGGCCATGAGAGTACGTAAGTGCTGGCATATGGCACTCGGGGCTTGGGAAGTGCAGAAAGCGCTCCTGTTGTCCATGCCACATGCTGCGTGGACAGGCTCTTCCCCTATACAGAAGACTGTTCTCAAGGGCAAGAGAGGGGCTTTAAGCAGAACTGTTATTACTAGTCATGAAAGGGTTGGCCACAGTGGTCATTGCAGTAATTTCTGCTTTGTTTCTGTTTTTGCTCAAAGCAGTATCATGACTGTCAGTCAGATGGGATGTGCTTAGCTGAGAGTTCTTGACAGGTCATGTCACTGGACTTCCACCATGTGACCTCACACTGTGACTTAGCTGTTCTGTGCCTCAGAGTGTGAGATTAGTTTATCCTAGAAGATCAGCAACTGATTACAAGTAACCAGTAAGACACTTGGTAAGAAGACTGGATATTTTTATATCCTGAAGGCCAATGAGTCCCTTTATCCTCAGAAATAGCTTTTGAGAGTAGTTGGGTACCACACTTCCTCCTGGTCCCTGTTAATAGAAAACTAGCCGAAAGCTTTTAGCAGTGAGTGGAGAACAGAGGCAGTGATTATATGTATAAGGAGATTGGCCCTCAAAGCTGTGCTGCCCTCAGCCATGTTTCACACCTACAAGGAACTTTGTTCCAAGTGTGAGTATCGTGCTGTGTGAGTCTGTCATCTAGCCATGACCTTTCTATTTTCATCTGTCATGAATAAATCCTAAAGACCTGCAAGATGGCTCCCTGGGTTAAAGTACCAGACTTGATGATCTGACTTTGATCCATGAGACCCACATGTTACAAAGAGAAAGTTGTCCTCTGACCTCCATATGTGTGCTGTGGTGTGTGCATGACCACCCCCTACACACACACACACACACACACACACACACACACACACACACACACACAAATAAATGTAAAAAGTGAAAATAATCTCAGTATTATTATAAAATAGAAATTATGGTCATCTGCATTGTTACCCTGTGTTTTGTTTTGAAATGGGGTTTCACTGTATAGTTCAGGCTCATCTCGAACTCAGTTTGTAGCCTTGAGTTCTCAGTTCTGCTTCTGCCTCCTTAGTCTGGGATTACAGGCTCTGCCTCCACATCGGGCTTCTAGATTAATTATTGAAAAGATTGTATAGCTCAGAAACAAGTTGGCCCCATCCCCACTAACCCTGAACCCTGAAACAGCTGCTCTGAGTTAGCCTCTTACATATCCTCTCTGTCACCATTGTCCGGGCCAACACAAGACCTGAGCTTTCCTTTCATATATTGCTCTGTGTCTGTCTGTCTGTCTGTCTGTCTGTCTGTCTGTCTGTCTGTCTGTCTGTCTGTCTGTCTGTCTGTCTGTCTGTCTGTCTGTCTGTCTGTCTGTCTGTCTGTCTGTCTGTCTGTCTGTCTGTCTGTCTGTCTGTCATCGTCTCCCCCAGCCTACCCCTCTCTTGTTCTGTCCCTGTGACAAGTGATGCAGGTGTCTTCCTATGACTGGGCTTCTGCCCACTGTATGTGTTGCCAGTTGGCTCCTGATTTTTATTTCCATGAAATGTGTTGTGGTTTCGCTTTCCCTGGTGTTCCTTTCCAAGCTGGGAGCTCTTAAAGCAATCTTAAATCGCATATGAAAGGTGGGCTGCTGCTTGGTTTATTCAGCAGCTCTCCTCATAGTGGTTTTAGATAATCTCTCTCATTCTTGGGGGGTCAGTAAAGATCGTTTCAGTGATATTTTTAACTAATAAACTGTTCAGTGCAGGGTAAAATCTGCCTACGTTAAATGTGGTCAGATTTATTTTTAGAGTCTTGCTGAGGCCAAAATGATGACTCTAGGTTACCTAAAAATGTATACCCATGTATGCTGTCTAACTTGATTCTCAAATAGTTTTTGGAGAGAGCACTGCTTCCTCCTCCTATTGAGGATAAAGAGATGAGGAGAGGAAAAACAGGTTACATGAAATATCTGAACATTCTAAAACTGGCCTGGCATAGGGGTCCTTGTCTTTAGTCCCCACTACTGTAAAAACTGAGGCAGGAGGATCACTTCAGCCTGGGAATTCTACGCTAGCCTAGACAAGATAGTAGGACTTCGTGTCAAAAACAAAATTAAAAAATAAACCAAAACACAATAAACAGCCCAGCACAGTGAGTTGGTTCGGGCAGTGTCCTTTGTGGGTAGGCTCACCTGATAAGTGCAAAGTTGGGTCAGTGCATTGGTCTTTGGTAAACACTCCGTCTCGGATCAGATGCTGACACCATTAACCTAGTGATCACAGGGCTGGCGTGCTACAGTACCAGTTCATTGTCTGTCACATGATGTAGTTAATGACTTTGTGCAGTGCTTAGAGCGGGATGAATGGGGTTGCACAGATTGTTTAATGACCCTTGCTGCTCCATCAAGCAGAATGAAAGAACTCCAGTGCCAGAGAGAAGGGTAAATAAGCAGTGTCCCACCCCTCCCTGAGGCCTGAGACCCTTCTTATCTTAGCTTTATCTGTTGCTGCTGAGAACATGTCCGGATCTATGGTCTCAGTTTTGAAATAGGGTGTAAGGTTTAGCTTTGATAATCAAAGGATTTTGTCTATTTTGGTCTCTGCAGAATGGAGGAAAACACATGGAAAAACCTTTTAGTGCTGGAGGAGCATTTTGGATGGGGTAAAATGCAGGCCCTTGAAGCCCTGTGAGAAGGCCCCTTGCTGGCCAGCTGACTTGGATTCTGCCTTCCTGCTGGCTGGCTCTCACTCCAGTGGCTGGAGATGGTTAGAGAGGCTGTGAATACTCCTCTTAGGAGCTCTCTGGCCTCCTTTCAAAGGGTTATGCTGCTCTTTCTCCAGTGGCTCATTGTTCTAGATTATTTGATGCTCCTTGACTTTAAAAATAGTCATTTCCACCTTCACAGAGCAGCCTATAAAGATACGGAGTTTCCAGTGGCCAGGTGTGGGGGGCAGGGTGCTTATGCTTAGTCTATATGGAAGAAAGCGAGCTTCCTCATGGGGCATAATTTCAGGTGTAACAATGAAAACTCACAAATAATCAACAACAGCCATGACAAGTTGAGTTTGTTTTCTCAAATTCACTTTTGTTTTTTAAAATTCCAGGTTGATATTTGTTTTTTCTTGGTGTAGTGGTCTCTTGTTTTCTGACTTCTGTTGGAAATTCAGCTGTGAATCCAACATTTAATATTCATGGTAACCTCCCTTTTCTTCTCAGTGCATTTCAGTGCTCTTTAACCCCACTCCCCAGGAGCTCTTGCATACAGCTGGCAGTGTTGCCGGGTGATGTTGTTTGGTGGGGTTTGAGTGTTTTCAGACATGAACTCCACCCTACCACAGCCTCCTTTGGACGTCAGTTTTGTTTTTCATGATGCTTAGCTGTCCTCATGTCTCCCTGTGCCTTTGTGGGCTGTACAGTGAGAATCCCGTTCATTTCACTGAGGTTGTCTGACTTGCCTGCCTTTGCAGTGGTAACCATTTCTCAGTGTGTGCAAGTCCTACTGGGCTCTTCTCAGTTCCACTTGATGTTTGCAGTTGTGTCCTTCTGGGCTGTAGCTTAATTCTCAAGCACTCTGAATGGATCCGAGTTCTTTGCTAGTATTTCCAGTCTCCAGAGTCATTGCAGGTCTTCTGTGCTTGTTTTGTGATTCTGAAACGTGGTTCCCTATTTCACTTTTATAATTTCTGTTACACTTGCACACTCACACGAAGAGCTGCTAGTTACTGATACCTTTTCTTGGGGATTACTTGAAGCCTGATATTAGTTCAAACCTGTATATAGTAAGAAATTACCAATACGGAGTCAGGTAGAAATATAAGGGTATTTAATAGGGAAAAGCCTTACTTACAGAGCGAACCAGCCAGCCGGTGGTAGTTTGTACAGCAAGAAGCAAAGAGAAACCGAAACCGAAACGCAGATCCCCCTACTCACTCTCACCACGCCCTCACAAGCCTGCCCAGGTACTCCTGTAGCCAGCCCCTAAGAAGGCGTGGCTACAGCTTCCCCTACACCTGTATCTCCATTAGGGTTCCCAGGCAGTCTTTCTGTCATCGTTTCTGCCTGTAAAGCATGTGAGGATGAGTTTGGGAGTTGGTTGGTTTTTTTTTGTTTTTTCTGTTTTGTTTTTTTTTTGTTTTTGTTTTTCTTTACTGCCAATAGAAAGGCATCAGGTGGTTGGAGAATGGACACAGGTATTGTTTCCCTTTATGCAAAGGGTGCAATTCTTGGAATTTCACTCCAGCTGTGAGCTAATATTAGTCTGTCAGACTCCCCATTTCAAACCATTCTTTTTTCTTATATATAATTATTAATTTTTATGTGCATTGTGTTTGTTTCTCCTGCATTCCTGTATGTATGTATGTCTGTGTAAGGATGTCAAATCTTGGAGTTACAGACAGTTGTGAACTGCCATGTTGGTGTTGGGCATTGAACCTGAGTCCTCTGGAAGAGCAGTTGGTGCTCGTGTACACTGAGCCATCTCTCCAACCCCTTCAAACCATTCTTAACCTGTCCTCCTGTTCACACTGCCAGAGCCCATGAAAGCTGGAGGTTTGCAGTTCTGGAGGAGCCTTTCACTCCTGGGTAAAGCTGACTTCAGAAGTCTTGTCACATCTCCGGCTTCCCATTTTGCCTTTCATTTTGACTCTTATATATTCCTTAATCTTTTAGCAGCTTCTCTGTATATCTTAAGAGGCAAACTGAGCCAGGCAGTGGTGGCGCACGTCTTTAATCCCAGCACTCGGGAGGCAGAGACAGGCAGATCTCTGTGAGTCTGAGACCAGCCTGGTCTACAAAAGCTAGTTCCAGGACAGCCTCCAAAGCCACAGAGAAACCCTGTCTCAAAAAAACAAAAAAAAAAGAGGCAAACTGTATGTGGTTCCATATTTGGTTTCTTTCAGCAGGAGGCCTAGTTGAGGCCTCTTAGCTTGTGTGGGACTGGGGACATGAAGAGGCGTGTCCTGGGACTCCGTCACTTACATGTTTCTGTTATGCTGTTTCTAGCTCTCCGAGAGATGCTCCGGAACCATTCTTTTGTGGGCTGTGTGAATCCTCAGTGGGCCTTGGCACAGCACCAGACCAAGCTGTACCTCCTCAACACCACCAAGCTTAGGTAAATCTGTGTGAAAGCAGCAGAATGGTCTCTGGGGACAGTGCCAGTACTTAGTGGGGGTGGAGGAGCAGGTGAGGTGGCTGGGAGGAATCGTCGGAGCCTTGAGAGTCACAGATGTGAGTGCAGATCCAGGGTCAACCTTTCTCCTCTCCAGGACAAGACATCTCTTTTCCATACCACATCTCACGCATCTGACCTGTGAATCAGGACAGTGAGACTAAATGTGACTGGTATTTCCTTTCTGTACCTATCTCATGTATCTGCCCGATAAGTTAGGGTAGTAAGACTAAGTGTAACTGGCATCTTGTGGGGATAAATGACTAGAGACACTCAGCCCTTGGCTCAGCATTCAGTAAACATGGGCTGAAAGCCAGGTGTTAGAGATCTGGTGTTTCTTATGTGCAACAGGGTTACAGGAAGGCAAAAGAAGGAAGCCCATGTGTCTCTGTTGGCGTTGGGAATGCCGTAAAAGCTTATATTCTAGCTACCGGTGTCAGGGTATTGTACAACATGGAAAATGAAATCCCAACAGTGCCATTCGTCCTGTTCACACCTGATGACATTTTTATTGTTTCCAAGGACTTTGAGGCTCTGTTGCATCTAGCTTGTGATAAGTGTATTCTCAAACAGATGATGTATATGGGAGGATGATGCTGCCTGTATTGCTTACCTACTCTGTGACTTCTATTGTAAGCCTTTCTGTGACCAGAGTGCTTCGTGACCATACAAATGGAACACTGTACACTGCATGGACATGGTACATGAGTGCAGTCTATTTGCCATGTTTAATCTAGAAGCCCCTGTCCCAAAGCTCCTTCTGGCACAAGTACTTTGTCTCGCATACAGGGTCATTCTTGGGTTGGGAGCCTTTTTGGCCTAGTGCTAAGTTTCACTGCACTTCAATGTGTTAGTTCCTTTTCTCATTTCTGTGACCATATACATGGCGAGAAGCAGTGTTGGGAAAGATAAGTTTGTCTGGGCTGCATTTGATGCAGTCTGCCGTGGTGGGGAGGTATTGCAGTGAGACAGCTGGGTGCATGACCTTAGCAGTCCAGACACAAGAGTTCAGGGCACAGCTCTGTTTCTCCCTCACAGGCTTGGTCTGCCAGCTGCAGTCCTTGTTGAAGTGTTGGCGTTCAAATCACAGCAGTGTGCCATGAGCTGGGTTACAGGGAACTCTTCTCCCTGCTTCTGCTTGGGGTGTGAAGAGGTGTTTACACTCTAGTACATGTGCAGTGTGACTTGCATGTCTTTCCAGCTAGCCTGTGTACCTGTGTTCACCTTTTTTCATCTCCTAGTAGCACTCACGGCCAGTACCAGAATTGCAGCTTCTTATATCCTTCATCTGAAATCCAAATTCCATCCACAGTGATTTCATAAAGTAGAACATTCCATACCCTGACAGTGTGGAAACTAGAAAAACAATCCCCTTTTGTCTTCTTTTGTGACTTGTGTCGTATCTCTTGTTCAGTCCTTTCATCCCCTGATACGTAGCCTTCCTTGTTCTCCTGTCTACATGGTATACTGAACTCACATGTACTTTGTTTACATATTCATACTATAGGCTAGGATTTGCATGTGAGGAAGAACGTGGTTTTTATTAGTAATCAGTATACATGCTTAATTGCTGTTCTTGGATTATTGTCAGCCTGTGCAACATACTAACTCAAATGTCAGTGTACTTCCAGATGTGGGGCAAATTCTACAATCCCAGCTCTTGGCAGGTGTAGGTAAAGAATATTTGTGAGTTCCAGATTGGGCTACACAGCAGGATCTTTTATCCCACCCCATTTCCCCCACCTCCACCCCCCCAAAAATCAGTGCAATATATTTCTGCCTTAGCATCCATTTCTGATGATTCAGGGAAAGCTGCTCTTTCTGTATGCTCCATATACTTTTTTCCTATATAGCTGTTTCTGTGATGCTGGGGGTGAAACCCAGGCCTTCATGAGCTAGGCAAGTACTTCACACTGTGGTGTTTAAGGGTGGACTGTCAGAAGGTAATCTGTTGAGTGACATTGTGGCTCTTTTTGCTTTTTTTGAGGGGTGCATCACCCAGCTCAGGCTTATTAGTTATGAATGCCTGGCCTTAGCTTGGCTTGTTTCTGGTCAGCTTTTCTATCTTAAATTAACCCATATATTTTTTCCCTCTAAGCTTTTATCTTTCTTACTTCCATATATCTTACTTACCTTCTTATTTTGTGGGTGGCTGACTCCTGACGTCCTCTTCTTCTTCCTTGTTTTTCCTACTATTTATACTCTGCCTACCAGGCCCACCTATCCTTGCTCCTGCCTTGCTATTGGCCATTCAGCTTTTTATTAGAACCACCAGGTGTTTTAGGCAGGCACAGAACACAGCTTCAGAGTTTAACAAATGCAGCATAAACAAAAGTCACACACTTAAAATAATATTCTAACACAGTAATCTGTAAGGTTCTTTGTTAACTGGGGAAGGTAAGCAGACAAACAGGGTTTTAGATTCCATTGCAGGCATCTGAAACCTTTACAGCCCTAGAGAGGAGGAGGTGAACCAGACTGTGTTTGCACTTGTCCGGGGTTGGGGGTGGCTGCAGCGTCTCGGCAGGAGTCACATTAGGAATCCCAGTGCTTTATATAGAGAAGCCCTACTCCTTAGCCAGATCCACAGCCAGACAACAGCATATTTGTCCCATTCCGTCCTTGCTGCTCAGCCCCCCATCATAGATTTATTTTTCCTAAAGTCTTTCACTTTTATTTGCAGTGAAGAACTGTTCTACCAGATACTCATTTATGATTTTGCCAATTTTGGTGTTCTGAGGTTATCGGTAAGTTTCCTCCTCACTTCTGAAACAGCAGCTAGTCATTTCTCAGAATATGAACTATACAGTGATTTCCCACTTAGCAAACATAAACTCTCTAAAGTATGTTTAAGAGTTTCTGTACCATATGATTTGCAATGAAGTGTTTTTGGTTGAATCTTTTCAGGTGAATAGTTACTTTTACAGCTATCTTAAACAAATGCTTCCTGTTATACAAGTTACTGCATATTTACTTAAAAGTAGAAATATTCTCTAAAACCATGGCTGGAACAGGGATGGGGTGTGTGTTTGCTTTTTCTTTATTTTGTGGTGCTGTGTAGGCACACACTCTGCCATTGAACTTTAAACTTGTAACAATTTTAGCTTGTCTGTTCCAAGGTTTTGATGCCAAATCTTAACCTTTGGAAATTTGAGTAAGATTGTATTGTATCTGTAAATAACTTTTGAGAAAAGATAAATTTTATTGGCTTAATGTTTACTTTTCTTTGATGCTGTACATGGCAACTTAACAATTTGAATTTCTGATGTTTATTGCCAGACTATAGAAATGCACAGGAATTTTGTGCATAGATGTTGTATTTTGCAGTTTTGCTAAACTCAACTAGTTTGGTTAGTGCTTATATAGAGTCTGTTTTCCTCCATAAATGGTCATAATATTGAGAACGAAGGCAGTTTTACCTCCTTATACCCAGTTTGGTTGCTTCCCCATTGTCTTGACGGCTTGCAGTCTGGGCTAACTAGAAGTGGCAAGAATGGAAACCCTTCTCTTGTTCCAGTCTTGGGGGAAGTAGTCACACTTTGGTTGGTGAATATGATTATTGAATTCACTAGTAGCTAGGAGAGAGTTTTTGTGGATGCCCTTAGGAAGTTAGAGAAATTCTTTGTTTTTTGGTTTTTTTTTTAAATTTACTGATATAGAAAATTTTCAGATGCTTTTTTTTCCCTCTAAGATATGTTTTGTTTTGTTTTTTTAATTTTTAGACTATTAATATAGTGAAATACATTGACTAGTTTCCATGTCAAACCAATCTTGCACTTGTGGGATGAACCCTGGTCGGTTGTGTGTTGCCAGATCTCATTCCTCAAGTTGTTTTTATAAGTGTTTTTGTCTGTGTGTGTGTGTGTGTTACCATTGTGTCGTTTTTTTGTATTATATTTGTGTGATTCTAGTAGAGGATAATGTTGACCTCATAGATGAGTTGGTAAGCTCTCCTTTGCTGTTTTCAGAGTTTTGTACGATTGTTATTATTTACTCATTGTTTAGAACAGTCTGGGCTTGAAGATTCCATGATAGGAAATGATTAGAGTTCAGGTTATTAGTCAGACAGAGTTGTTCAGGTTGTCTTTTCCCTCTTGTTGCATGGCTGCTTGGTGTGGGTGTATGATTGTGTGCATTTGTGTAGGGCCAGGGGATGGTGTCTGGTGTTGTTCCCCAGTACCTATAACTTCTTCTTGGTTTTTTTGTCATTGTTTTGTTTTTGAGACAGTATCTCTCACTAGGACCTGGAGCTTTCTGATAGGCTAGGCTGTCTGTATTTAGGTCTGTATCATTTAGCATCTATAGTCTCCTAGAGGTTTTCCAGAAATCTGTTCCTCTTTCTACTTTCATTCTCGCTTGGGTGAAAAACATTCATGAGTGTGTTCACACTCACTGAGACTTGTTGCGTGGCCCAAAGCATGTGTTTTGTCAGTTTATGTTCTTTGTGCACCTGAAACAGAGTCTGCATTCTTACCTTGATAAGGGTGTTCTATAGATACCACCCACATGCATTGTGCTCTCTGTGGTGCTTGTCAATCATATCCATAGTGATCTCCCGTCTACTTGTTCTGCTGTTAGTAGGGTATTAAAACTGCAGTGATGAGTGGGCACTCTCTCTCTCGGTGCTTTTATATTGGAACTGAATGTGCTCTGTTGCACTCAAGCTTCCCACCTAATCCCTATGTTCTTGCTTATTTGTAGGAACCAGCGCCTCTCTTTGACCTCGCCATGCTGGCCTTAGACAGTCCTGAAAGTGGCTGGACAGAGGAAGATGGCCCTAAGGAAGGACTTGCAGAGTACATTGTTGAGTTTCTGAAGAAGAAAGCTGAGATGCTTGCAGACTATTTCTCTTTGGAAATTGATGAGGTGGGACAGCTACTCACAAGCCTTTGAGCTTTCTGTCAGATAAGAGTCAAGTTCCTAGGTTGGAACCAAAAGGCTTACCTCCCCTCAGAAACAGCATGTATCAGACATTTTCTCCACTCCGAATTTGCACTGGAGATGATACACCCAAACTGCCATCCATCATGCTATTCCTATTCCCAGGGTAAAGTATTCTCCTGTGAGGGAAAGCTGAATTCTAGTCCTTGTAATTCCAGTCCATTCACGTGGCCACACGGTGAATGAAACTATACCACCTGCTCCATTTCTTCCTCTTACCCTTGATCTTTGGGGCCACCTGTCCTGATGTTTCTGAGCAGATCCAGAAGCAAAAGTTGTTCCTGACCCAAGGCTCTTTTTAAATGCTTAACCTTTTGGTTCACAGAGCTGATCCTACATGTATCCAGTAAAAGGCTTAGAGAAACACAAAAGAATTGAAACCTATCAGCCATAATGCCATTATTTCTTCTCCTCCTTTCTTGCCCCCCCCCCAACAGGAAGGAAACCTGATTGGATTACCCCTTCTGATTGACAACTATGTACCCCCTTTGGAGGGACTGCCTCTCTTCATCCTTCGACTGGCCACAGAGGTATATAATAGCAGATGCTAAGCAGTAGGTGCCTGCGTGCCTGTGTGTGTGCGTGTGTGCATGCGTGCATGTATGTATGTCTGTGTGCTTTGGTGTGTCTGTTTGTCTGTGATGTTTATAAATGAAATATTAAAGCACTGCACTGAATGCTTTTCTTGTATTGAATTCTGTGGATCAGGTGAATTGGGATGAAGAGAAGGAATGTTTTGAAAGCCTCAGTAAAGAATGTGCTGTGTTTTACTCGGTTCGGAAGCAGTATATACTGGAGGAGTCAACCCTCTCAGGCCAGCAGGTACTGTTGTAACTAATGCACATTGGCATCCAGGACCGGGCAGGTGTCATGGACCTTTAGGATATGGACCTTCAATCATCTCTAAAATCCCACAGTTCCACTTCATAGGGCAAAGTTCAAACAACAGCCCTCAACTTATTTTTTAAAATCCAGGAGGGATTTGCATTTGGCTCACCTTGGCTTTGAACTTTTGATGTCCCTGCTTCAGCCTCCTAAGTGCTGGGATTATAGGCATGCAGCAGCACCCCCAACTCTTTACAATGCCAGCTTTTATTCGTAAACTATTTCATTCTGCTGGCCTGTCAGATCCAGAGTGGTGCCTGTGACATCTGAGTGAAAGGGGAGAGCTTAGATCAGAATGTTTTAGAACAGCAGCCTTGTGCGTACTATTGCTAACACCTAGACCAGTCTTCTGTCTGCCTCAGTTTCTCCCTACTTTGCATCTGAGCTGTCTTCCTTACCAGGAAGATGTGTCTCTATAATCCCTCATAGGCCAACTTGATGAAAAGAGCCTGTGTTCCTACTGCTTCTTTGTGACTTTTTCAATCAGATGATAATGCACACTCACATTTCCCAAGAAGGCAGAGAGAGCTGAGAGTATCTAAGAATCAAAACTAGCTGCTGTAGTGCATGGCCACTTAATGACGTTGAACACACTGTCCACTGATCTGGACGCCTGGCATGTTCAGGGCTTCCGGTGCTTTGCAGTGGTGCAACAGAAATTAGCCCTGGCCCCTGGCTGGCACGCCAGGGACTCTCTCATCCTGGTGGGGAGGGTGACACATAGGAAACAGACGACAGATGAGAAAGAACATGTATGTGGGGCTGCCAAAGCTTACATGGAAAGGAACAGTGAGGCAGATTGACTCTCCATGGAGTGTCAGAACAGCGCTACTTTAAGATCCCCCCTGTTTGTGTCGCGTTATGATCCAGGAAATGTTAGATCCACTGTAGTGGAAACAAAAATGTAGGCGGTGGTCCCTCAAAATACTGGTTTCTTCTTCACAAACCTTGCTTCTGCTCAGACCTGTGGGACCCTCAAGCCTGACCTGCGGAAGCTCTACTACCCACCACTAAAACCCTTCCAGGCCCAGTGCCTGTCATGTCAGGGGGAAAGCCAGTACGTGGGAAGATAAATGGCATTTCCTGTATTTTCCAGAGTGACATGCCCGGCTCCACTCCAAAGCCCTGGAAGTGGACTGTGGAGCACATTATCTATAAAGCCTTCCGCTCACACCTTCTGCCTCCGAAGCATTTCACAGAGGATGGAAACGTCCTGCAGCTTGCCAACCTGCCGGACCTATACAAAGTCTTTGAGAGGTGTTAAGTCCAGTCATAGCCACCTTAGTGATTGTGCACTCACCGTCCAAGTTGAAGCATGCTTGACGGACAAGGAAGCCACTGGATAGTGGCCGTGCTCAAGGGTTTCCAGTGCTCACAGTTTCTGCTTTGTATCCCAGTGTTGTTGCTGCAACTTAATGTGGAAATTCACATTTGCCTCCACCTGTGAATTGGCTGCAAATAAACTGTCTTGATGTGTTTTTTTTAGGTATATATATAAAACTTCACATTGAAAAAGTAAGATGATTTTCACCTAGTATATACTGGGTTGTGTTGAAGACTCCCCCTGAGCACCTGAGGAGGCATTTCTATACATGCTGTTTAAAAAAAACCTCTTGAAGTTTTCCCAGATCATGCTATAATGTTTTTATTCTGGAAATTTGTTATTGGATACCATAAGCTGTGTCAATTCAAATTCCTTTTAAAAGCAGCCCTGGCACAGCAACTTTTGAGAAGTCCATGTCTTGGAAGTGTCTTCTAGACATCTCTTCCCTCAGTGCCCAGGCTTAAATCCACTTAAAACTTCCTTAATAAACTCCAGCTTTGCTTTAAAAAAAAAAAAAAAAAGTCCTGAGGACATGGGCAGTACATGTCTTGATCCCAGCACAGGGAGGCAGAGGCATGTGGATCTGTGAGCTTCAGGCCAGCCTGATCTACATAGTAAGTTCCTAGCAAATGCAGATGACAGAGTGAGACCCTGACTTTAAAAAAAGTCCCAGGCATGTATAAGGTAGTCTTGTCAACTTGGTTGGATTTAGAGTACCTAGGGAAGACATTTGGGCACATCTATGACAGTTTCCAGAGCAGATAACTGGTCGGGGAAGACGTATCCTCAACGTGGGCAGCAGGAGCAACTAACAATATGAGAAGATCTCAGGAAAAGTGTACACCTGCCTGTATCCATCACTAATACTGCCCTCAGACTCAACTTCTTCAGCCTCCCAAGGTGGACACAATACCAAGACTCCTCTCCAGGGATTTTGATGCCAGATTGGGCCTACTAAGGCATCTAGCCTTGTGAAGCAAGGAGCTACCAAGTTTTCTACCTCTCAGCTTGTAGGCAGCCATCCTTGGACTGCCTAGTCCTTTCTTTGTAAATCCCTTTTATGCATCCCGTGGATTTTGTTCCTGTAAGAACCTGTCTAAGTTATTGGCATGGACAACCATGTGATTTATAAGCTTTGAAACAGGTATACAAGAGGGATGTAGAAAAGTTTGGAGTTGGAGGCTGGGGAGCTCTAGAATACTGTAAATAGAACTTAATGGGTGATTTTGGTACAAGTTTAGAACTGCAGCCAGTGGGGGCTTGGCTGTGTGGTTTTGAGAGGGAGAACAAGGACGGTAATGGGATCTAGGCTATTCATGTTACATTCTGACAGAGACCTGGCTTTGTCTTTTCTCATGTCTTTGAGAAAGGCCAAATTCAAAAGTAATGGACTAAGTTGTTTGGCAGAGGCAATTTCAATACAGCTTAACCTTTAGGTGGTGGCATGGTTATCACTGAGTTTATTGAGGTTGATAATGACAGTTCAAAACAGAAAGATGAAAATATGTGCTCTAGTGAGATAAAACATGAACATGAAGGATGAACATGTTCAAAGTTGCAGAAAAGGAGGGGAGGGTGCTGACAAAGTCTCTGTAATTGTTAAGGAGATGAACTGAACTAGAGAGAGACCTTACACATCGTACCCTGGGGTGCACTCGCTGCAGCTCCAGCGTGTAGATGTGCAAATTCTCTTGAAAAGTGTGAACAGAATGCCAAGTAAAAGGGTCCCTGCTTGAGAACCAAACTGTGAGCCAAAATAAGTCCATCCATTTGTCAGGTATTTGGTTAACAGTAAGAAAAGGTAGTTACTAATGCAATAGGTAAGAGTGTTGGTATTGACTGGAGAAAGCTTGAGCTGAGACATTCTTACTGTCAGTAGTTAAGGCTAATTTATTATTAGGGACAAATTTTAAAGCATTGTTGCCCAGCCTTTTAACTGGTCAGAGTTAAGCTAGCTCACTTAGTGGTTCTGAACATGTTTCTAGGGATTCTTGTTTGGAGGATCCTGGGGAAGCAAAAAAGAGACACAGCTCTCAGCAACTAGTTTGCTCTTCTTTGATTTTACCTCTTTTTTTTTTTTTTCCTCCTGGGTGATTTTGTTGTGGAGTTACTTTGGAATTGAGGGATAAGAGGACTGCTGACTCCTAAGTAACACTCATAGGGCAGATTATCCTTCAAATTAATGAACTACAATGGTGATGAGGCTGCACCTTGGAGTGGGAAATGATTGTCTTGGAAACCATTAAGAGATGTCAGCAACCACTTCTCCAGAGCCTTTCATAGGACCTGAACTTAATTACCAGTCAGACCACTGGCCTGCCAACATGACGTGCTTCATCAGCAGTGCAGCATAACCCTGTCTACTTTGATCCCTTTTTCAAATCGTTAACACTTTGAAAATTAATTTGGGGTTCCAGAACCCTTTTATCTGTTCTTTCCAACTTACTTCTCAACTGTGGTGGTTTGTTGGGGTGGGTGGTCAAATCTAATACACTGGAAATTAGCCAGGGCTTTCTCTAAAACCAGCAATAAAAGTATAAACTCCTTAGTGCCCAGATAAGGCACCTTAATGGCAAGCCCTGCCTCAGCAGAAATACAGCACTCAGCCCAAGGACAGATGCCTAAGGGTTTAAAGTAAAGCACAGACCACAGGAAGCAATGAAGTCATTTCACCTGGGAAAGACTGAAACAACAAGGTCTAGGGCCAGGGCTTCCCAGGAGAGGCTCATGAGCCCAGGATGGATACAGGCTGAGTGGAAAGGAAGAGGTAATTTCCCCAGGTGAAGATCTGGATCACCTGATTGCAGCTGAGGTGATATGCTAAATCTGCATTCCTGCCCCACCCACACAACTGTAGTTCCTATCAGTCAGGAAATGCACAGGGTGCACTCAGCTCAGGACAGCTTCCACAGCCTAAAACCGAAGGGCTAGTGACTAAAGAAGGGAACAACTATCATTCACTTTTTAGTTAACTTTATTATCTAGTTGCAAGTCTAGATTAAGAGGCTTTGATTTATTAGACTTTTCCTAAATGTAGTTTCTTTGTAAACACTTTGAGCTACAATAATCATTCCCATGAAACCACCTTGATTGTGACAAAAGAGAATCACAAACCCTATGAAGTGGCTACAGTAGAGGGAGGGGGAGATCATGTACTGGGCTCTTTAAAGATGAAATTAAAGTTCTTAAGCATTTTTAGTCTAGAACCAAGTAGGGTGGTAAATGCCTGGAATCCCAGCACTTAAGGGGCCCAACAATGATGACTAGAGGTGGAGGCAACCTGGGCTACATAGACCCTGTCTCTCAAAAAAAAAAAAAAAATTTTTTTTTTTTTTAAAAAGTTCTATACTCTGGCTTATCTCATCTTGAGAAAATAAGAGGGCAAGACAGGACTGTACATGGTTGCCATGATTTGTCCTTAAAAAGCTTCTGTAACAAGGACTGTGTCCACCAACCCTGGCTGGCACAAAGGTGGGCTTACTAGTTCTACAGGAGTATTCCCTACCTAACTGCACTGTCCCTCCCTCAGCCCTCAAGCCTGTCTGGGGTTTCAGTTCACAAATAAGCAGCAGATGAAAATACAGGGAACGCACAGCGGATACAGAGACTAAGGACCTACTCTTTTAAGACTTCTCTGCCCCGTGCAATAAAGTTTAATATACACTCCCCATATCTTTTCCTAACATTTTTACATAAATTTAAATATCTTAATTTTTTAAGAAAAGTTTTTTCCTGCAAACATAAATTTGCGTGAAACACAGACTCCCCTGGCCCCTGAATACTTCCTCACTGAAATATAATTGCTCTGGTAAGAAGAGTAGGAATCTTGGCCACTGGTCTCTGAAGCCCGTATCACACCGTGGAGAAGGCACTTGTGTTTTGAGGTCTCCAACAAGTGTCTCAGCACTCAGAATGGCCATCCTCCAGAACCCACACCAAGGCCTCCCAAGTGCCTAGTTAGGGAGGCAGCTTGGAGGGTGGTGAGAAAACGTGATTCTAGAATGCTGAAAACTAAAAAAACAGCACAGACTAGTCCTCACTGTAGAAGTGAGCTACAAACAAAATCCAAATTCATGACCATCAAACCTGCTTCATTCTCATAAATTATAAAATACAAAGGTGGCTGTTTAATGACAAGACTCAAACAGTACTTGAAGGGCTTTGTGTCAATATACAAAAGAGTCAGTATCTCTGGGCAAGGCCCTTAGAGGAGCGCCCAGATGGAAGGGCCGCCTTCCTACTGCTGGGCTAGAAGGGCCGTCCTGTTGGCCTTCATCTTCTCTAGCCGCTTTGCCAGGTGGCTGTTGGTCATCTCCATCTCCTCGATCTTGTCCAGTGATGTCCGTAGCTGCAGACAAAGAGTGCAATCACTTGTGTGGTCAGAGGAAAATCCAGCATCCTTTCCTTTCTTCTTGATGGAGACAGGGAGCTCTGCTAGTATGACAGCCATGTATGGGGTCCCCAAACAGCTGCCACCTCTCTCCAAGCAGCTACAGGCCTAAATAGTGGTGCTGAGGATTGTTTAAACCACATTGCTGCAAAAAAGAACCCCTAATGTCATCTAAAGCAAAACCCAGAAATACATTTGTACTTGCCGCTTTACCAAAAAAGTCAACGGCAGCCACTGCAGGTACAAAGTTTGTATGGCAGGCAGGTGGCTCCACTGTCTGTTTGCCAGGTCTTTTTGGTTTTAGTTACTTGAGACAGGGTCTCACTATGTATCCATGGCTGGCCTAGCCCTCACTGTGTAGACCAGACTGCCCCCAAACCAACAGAGATCTGCCTGCCTCTGTGTCCCGAGCGCTGGGATTAAAGGTGTGCACACCACACTTGACTAGAGTCAAATTTCTTCCACAGTGTGGATTTCTCCACAGAATCTATTAGGAAGTGTGTTACCTCTCGCTGAAGCTTCCTCTTTTCCGCTTTCAGCTCATCTTCTATTCTCTCAGCGTTCTCAGCAGCAGTTCTGTACCGCAGCACCTGCCCCTCAAGCCGGCTGATCTGTAAATATGAGCACACAGGCCTCTAGGGTTTGTCACCATTGCTTGGCAGGCAAGATGGAAACTCAGTGTCACTGAGGAGCCAAGGATCACAGTTGCAGAGTCATTCACCATAGCATCAGTTTCCCATGCTAACCCTTTCCTCCCCGAGCTGCTTTTGGCCATAGTCTTTTAGCGCAGCAATAGAAACCCTAACTTGGACAAGACAAGAAGACAGCATGTGGGAACCATTTGTCTACTGCCATGTGGATCCCGGGGATCAAACGCAGATCTTTAGGCTTGGCAGCTGTGCCATTTTGCTGGCCTAGTCCTGTCTTTAGAGCAAACACAACGTTGAATACCCCAGCATGTGTGGTCTGGTAGCTTTTCTATTGTAATACAGAGCTTTGAAAGAGACCCAGCTGCCAAGGCCACCCACAGAAACTCAAAGGTCTAGCCACTTGGATGCAAGTCAGTGAGGCATTTGATAGCATGTAATGGCATCTAAACCATTTGGTGCCTCACAGAAGTACTCACACTTTGTTCCAAGGTGGTTATGTCTTGTTCTGCTTTGGAAAGCTTGAATTTGTATTCACTAATTTGTCTATTGGCATCTCCTAAAACAGAAGATAATCATGAATTACACTCATCTCCAGAGATGGAGCTGAGAGGTAGCACACAGAGGACATGCAGTTCAGATTCTGGACTCTACTGTACTACTGCAAGAGGCTCCTACACCTCTCCCCACAGTGTCCCTAGGACTCAGAGCCAGAAACAAAGTCCTTTCCCTCTAGGTCAGTAGTTCCCAACCTGTGGATCGAGACCCCTTTGGAGGTTATGGATCAGATATTTATTCTGATTTATAGCAGTAACAAATTTACAGTTATGAAGTAATAAATTTTATGGTTGGGGTCACCACAGCATTAGGAAGGTCAGCCAGTGTTCTGGATGCATGTGAACACAGCCTTGAGAAAGGAAGCTCACAGGGTGGCAGTGGCCCCTGCAGCCTCTGGCCCCTGCTTCTCTGAATCCAGCCCTGAAATCTCCCAACTCCCAGGCAGTGTTTGTGTTCTCACACTCTGATTCAACTCTTCACCAGCCTCAATAAGATGCACTCATCTCCATGACTCCAGCGAACTGTAACTTTGTCCCTTGGTCTTTTTATTTGCATTCTCTATGACTATTATGCTCTATAATACTATTCGTGTATATAAAGAGGAAGATCATGCCTCAGTCTTCTTAAATCCACTTATGGACCCAGCCAGATGTTCTGCACTGTGTGCTTCCATAAAGCTGAGATAAATGCTTTTCAATAACCTCGTAAAGTTATGGGTATAGCTATAGATCATAAGATGTACATCATACCCAAGAAATAAAATTCCCACCTGGATCCTAAAGTTAAAAACTTCACTCTTTGCAAAGTCTGTAGACCATCTAACCCACCAAAGGAAATGACTCTGCCCAAGAACTTTCCTCTATTTTTCACATGACCCTATCACCTTAAAGTAACAGGAACCACAGGAGGTAATGCCTGCCTGTGACCCCACATTCCAAATTGGGCGGCTAAGACAAGAGGATCATGAGTTTGAGGCTAGCCCGGGCTGCACAATGAGACTATTTCAAAAAATGGATAAAGCAGCTCTCCCAAGCCACCTCTGGTGGTGGAGAGAACATTCCATTCATGAACTCTACAACAGAAGTTATAGTCCTGTTTTTACATCCACATCTCCAATAACCTATTGATTAACAAAATGTGCAGCTATTTTATCACTTTCAAACACTGATTCCTTCCTATGTACAGGTCTATTTACTCCTTTAATGTATGTTTTGAAACCGTGCTCACTACAGGTCAAGTTGCTGTTCAGAATCAGCAGCTGCTCATTTTGTCCTCAGCAATCAGTCCTGGCTTCCATTTGGCTACTCAGGTCATTTAATCCCACCTGCAAAGCCCACCTATATTACCTAGTTGACTCTAGGAAACAGTCACACAAAGTCTAGCCTGTTTCTCTTCAACTTGATTCCTTTAGAATCTGCTGCTTTTGCAATCTTTCTAAATCTAGGCATCCATTATACTGATCAAGCTCACCATATCAGCATCCTGACTAGCCTTCTCATAGTCTGTCACCTTCCTGTCGCACTACACCAAAGTGATATTCTAGAACCACTTGTCAAGGAATATGAGGAACCTGAGGTTCAAAAGCACATGTTACTACTAATAAACTTCAACCCCCAAATTCCTCCATTCAATATAAGTCCAATTGTTAATATGAAAAGTCACAAATAGCCAAGATTTTAAAGTGCATTATCAGTAAAGCCCCTTCACAAAAATAAAAGCCCTTTGTTATAAATCACTACCAACAGGGTAACTGTAAGAATGGATACTGGGACAACTATACTCTGGTATTTAGGGTGAATACTGTAGATAGACACTTAAAAACACCAGTATGTTAGCACACACCTTTAATCCCAGTATTTGGGAGGTAGAGGCAGGTGGATCTCTGTGAGTTCTAGGCCAGCCCAGCCTGCATAGTGATTTCAGACTAGCCAGGACTATGTAGAAAGACCCTATCTCAAACAAACCAACAATATGGGTCTAAAGTAAAAAGAGAAAAGAAACAATTTGTAGCCTTGCCTTTAATTTCATGTAGAGATGAATTTTTGCTAAAATCTAGGAAGTGTCGGAAACAACATTAATGAGCTGATCTTAAAATCCTCAATTTTCCAAGAATTCCAAAGAAAAAGCATAAATGGGAGAGGAGAGGGACCCACATAGGCTCAGGTTTCATATGCCATCAGCGAGTGGCCCGTGCCGTCCCTGGAACTCAGGAGGTGAGGTGACTCCCTGTGCAGCTCCTAAGTGACCAGGACAACTTTCCTGGACTCCAGAGTCCATATCCAACTCTATTCCAAGGATACATGCTATTACACACCGGTGCAGACTGGCCTGTGCCTGGTACCTACTCTGCATCTCGATGAACTGCAAATCTGAGCCATTCTGCAGTCCTGCCAGGTCCCCAGATACGCCATCGTTCCTGGAACACTTCTGCCGTTCTTCCTCTAACTGCAGCTTCAGTTTTCTAATCTGAAATGGAAGTAGAAGTCACAAGTGAGATCAGGGTCTGTCTCAGTCTTTTTATCTCTTTCTGTGGTGTTTCCGGGAGGTGAAGCCCAGGGACTTAGGTGTGCTAAGCAAACACTAACAGAGCTGTAGCCATATCCCTCTTTTTTACTTTGAAATAGGTTCTCACTGTGTTGCCCAAGCTGGCCTTGCACTCATTCTGCAGCCCAGGCTGACCTTGAACTTGAGATTCTCTTTCCTCAGCCTCCCAAGAAGTTGTGACTGCAGACCTGTCTGTCACCAGGCCTGGTTGGAAGGTAAGTGTCTTGAGTTTGTATGTGTCTATGCATATTTGGAGACCAGAGGTCTACATTACATGCCTTCCTTGATTGCTCTTCATGTTATTTCTGAGGCAAGGATCTTACCAACCCTGAAGCTGATCAACTTGGTCTGGCTGGCCAACAAGCTGCAGTGAACCTCAGGTGTCTACCTCTCCAATGCTGGGATTACAGATGCACACTACAGTGCTTGCTACTGGCAATTCAAATCCAGGACACAATTGCACAGTGAGTGTGCTACAGCAACTTTTGACCAGCTCCCAACCCCAATACTCTACACTAAAGGCTGTAACTGATCCAGGGGCCATAACATATGACAAAGCAGCTCCTTCTTAGCAAGTCATACAAATAGTCCACACCCTGTTTTTCCTATGAGAAAAATGGCTCCAAGCAATGATATAAACTGATAGAATCAGAAAGGAATGAGCCTCAGAGACCATGTGTCCCAATGAAGACTTGTGTGTGTTTATACAATAGTACATTTTTAAAAATATTTTTTCCTTAGTCTTATTACAATGAAAATTTTCATGGGTATACAGGGCTCCTTTTGTCTAATTAAATATTTAGAGAACTTTAAATAGTCAAATTATTGGAGGCACAAGTGGCTAGCTTTCCCACTATCTTTAACTCTGCTACCAGAGATGAAAAGGAAGCTGGGCACTAGCTTTGGCACTGATTTCAGACTAAGTGAATGCATGTTTGTGCTCTTTGCACACACATGGCTTTGCTGGGAGAGAATCTGGTTATTATCCCATTCCTATCACACCCAAAAAGGGGCATCCCTCTTCTTCAGCACTCTTACCCAAAGGCCCTGGACCATACCTAACCTCACCACCACCACCACCACACCGCCATACCCACACCCACACAGCCTCATCTAAGAGACAACTTTTCCCCTCAGTTCTCACAGAGCCCTGCACTCCTGTAGCCCCACTTAGCACTACTGCTTTTGTCTTCACAGCCTCCTACCTCAGCCTGGAAATGGAATAGTGCTCTCAGGCTTTCTTTGCTGTTGCTGAGCTGTCTATACTCATCCTCCCTACAAGTTCCCCTTCTTAATCTATCTGTTGGGATTTCTATCTAACTCCCTCACATCTTCTCTGGGGTGCTGTGCTTCTGTCCTGTTAGCTCCTGACTTGCACTCCCAAATCTACCCCCATCTTAGCCATTTCAGCACACATCTCAAGTAGGGACATGCTCCCATGATCCACCACAGTTTCTGAAAGGCCTCCCCTTCAAGGATCCTGCCATCGACCTCTTCTTGCCCTTGCCCTTCATGTAACATAGAATAACAGACTTCGACGTTAGATAGCCACACTCCCTAGATTCTTTAGTCGCACGCGCTCTAAGCATGACTGCTGGTCACCCGGTTCATTCTCTCTCCACCCTAGCAACCTTCAGCCACACTCACTTCCAGTCATACACCCACCGATGTTTCTAATGAACATTTAATCTATTAGCATTTTTCTGCCTGTCTTAGATGAACTAATGGTTTCAGAAGAGCAGACATCTTACCTGTGACATGAGCTCCTCCTTTTCTCCAGCGAGTTTCCGTAGCCTCACATCTGGAACAGGTGGGGAAGCTGTCAACTGGACTTGTAAAGGTGCTTACAAATAGCCAGCATCTACTCAATTACATTGTTTACATTCTCAACATGAAAAGAAGCAAAGGCTTTAATTGCAATCAAAAGAATATTCTCCAAACTCCCAGCCAGTGACACTTATGACACCAAATAAAATGTCTGCTCCCAGAGCAGTGACTTTCTGCCTAGAGACAAACTGGAGTCCCGAGGAAGCCATTCTTTTGTTGTTGCAAAACTGTGCAAGCTTTCCCAGTTGTCTTCAGAAGTTCTCAACCTTGGTGGGAGCAGGATATGGATCATGAGTGGGACCCAAGAGTTCGGAGCAAGGTGCTGCGTACTGTTGGCAGCAGTGGGCCCGCGATGGCTAATGGGGGAGCAGGTAAGTGAGGCGCGCACTCTAAGACTCATGGTGAAACCAAGAGCCTAGTGGATCAGAAAACCTGGAGTGCGCTTAAACTACTTAAACCTGTGGCTAAGTTAGTGATGAACACAAGAAAACCAGACATAGGCAATCTGGGCTCCAACCTGGGGCAGATGCTCAGGGCTGCTTCTTCCTAGGCAGGAACAGCCCCCCCTGGGCTGAGGAAACACTGTTAGTTCAGCTAAAGCAGCCACTCACAGTTGGCCAATGACCCCACAATAAATGAGGGTCGGCCATATGAGTTCCAGTTCCCTTAGCATCCCCAAAAGGTGGAGGAACCCCAGAGCTGTCCATTGCTATCTTCAGTTCTATACACTATCAGGCTATAACAGCTATGGATGAGAACCAACAAAACAGTAAACTTACTTAAAAGATCTTTGGTTTTTTGTTTTATCACTTGATTGTATGGTTTTTGAGAGTGGGTCTTGTAAATGACATCGTGTCAAATGCCAAACATGAGCATGCCGGCAGGACCTCCCTCTAGCTTACCTGCATCCTCTGTTAAAGTGCTCAACAATTAATTGTATTTCTAGAATTCTACATAAGATACCATGCCTACTAATTTTAACATATTTTAGCTTGTGCTGTTGTTACAGTGCCTCACACTCCCTTAAGAAAACTACACACACACACACAAAGAAAAAAATTAAATTTTTTTAATTAATTAAAAAAATTAATATAAGCTGATGACATAGTATCTATCTGTGCTATTTTTCTTTGCCTAGTGTAAGATTTGTTGTGGGGCCAATTGCTGGGCCCCTTTGTGACTTTCTGGAGATGTGTCATTAGTTTCTCTAAGGGTCACTTTTAACAGGACTGGATGCCCTGCCCTAGAAGTCACAATCTAATATGTGTCTTCTCCATCATCCATTTCTTGCCTTAAGAAAAATGCTGTCAAAGAACTGTAGAGCCCTGGGATAAGCTTGGAATCTAAATCCAGGCAGGCCAGGAGAGGCTAAACACATGCTAGCAAGCCCCCACCAGCCCTGAGCTCCCCTGGGATAAGCACACTGGACTCTGCACCAAGTCTGTTTTAAGTGAAAGGCAATGTGTACACACCTGCAATGCTTCCATCAGTGCTAACCCGCATTTCTGGTTTCCCAAGGTCAAGAATGTCGAAGGACAGTGTGGCTGGATTCTTGTTTAAATAGCCCGTATACTGGCCCCCATCCCTACCCCAGGCTAGAAGCCCAACATCAATCCAGAATGAAATAACAAGCAGTGTCTCACCTAGTGGCCCTTCTCCTGCCGACTCCAAGACCTGAGCAGCTTCCTGAGACACAGCAGTAATGGCTCCAACCACAGGTTCATGATTGACATCACCATTGGGAGTGCTGTCTGGGATTATAACTAAGCCATGTTTCTATGAGGAAGGAAAAACTTACTGTTACAAGCAGGACCCACTCAGAAACTGTAAGTTGTGTTGAGGCATCTCTGCAACAGTGTTTGTTTGTCATGGGTAAAGACATCAGAATTAGTTATGTGATATACCTCTATGGAGGAAAGAGCTCAGTCCACCTATCAAGGCTGTTGTTTATGGCCAGGAAAGAAATCCTGCCGGAGCAGGGGAAGAAGGCCAGGCTGACATACCTCTGCTGTCTTCACTGTCTCCTGCAGATCAGCCAGCTCCTCTCTGAGCGCATCTCGCTCATTCCTGAGGCAGGTAATGTGTTCTTTCTGTTTCTCTAGGGCCTGGTTTTAGGCAGGTAGCAAGGGAAAGAGCAGCATAGAAAAAGAGCAAGAGAAAGGTGACAAATCCCATAAGCAGGTAAGGCCTGCAAGCAGAATGTTAGCAGTGTAGAAACGGCAGCCAGGCAGGGCAGGGAGGAGCAGCCTGTGTGCACAGCTGCACAAGGGTTTACCAGAGAAGGGCACTCATGCATGAACTTGTAAGACATGCTCATCATGTGAAAATCATCTTTACACACAAAACTTTCCTGCCTGACTTCCTCAGGACATTTTCATTTGGTGAACAGCAACAAAACAAAAAACCAATATGTTTCGTTTCACCTTTAACAAAAGTAGTTTATTAAGAATGTGCTTGATTTAAAAATGAAGATTTTTGGGAAGAAGAGCAAGTCTGGATAAGTTATTTAAATACTGGCTGTCTGCTTGTTCTCCAGTGTTAGCAAGGCACTCAGCTACCAGTTGGCCCAAGACAGCCCAGCTCCAAAGGGACTCCCCACAACCTACTATGTTAAATCGTTTTCTGATACAACTTAGTTAATAAAATGAGAAAAACAAAAATAAAGCACAAACTGAACACTAGCCCAGCTGGGTAATGGGTTAGGAGTTTCAAATCTAGCTTTGGGGACTTGACACATCAGAAGCCACCCATCTGACAGCGGCACCCACTCAGGCGGCACATTGGGCTTGGCAAGTTACACTGAGTATCTGGGAAAGGCAGCAGGCTTCCCTAGGGAGGTCCCTGTATCCTGCATCAGAGCTTTCAGGACAGCAGCACAGGCAGAAGGAAGAACCTACTCTGGTCATCAGTGGTGAATCTGCAATCACACTCAAACACCAAGATGGAAGCAGGCGCACAGCAACCTGGCGGCAGCACTCTTTGTACCAAAACCGTCCACTGTGTATGTCTCTCGCAGTTAATGTTTTATCCAGCATTAGCCCAATGAGTTAAGCTGTAATTCGTTCCCAGGTCAAAAAGTAGGTCAACTGCTTAGTTACCGATGATTAGAAAGTGTTTAGAGGCTATCCTTGTTACTGAACAGAAGGGTCTCAAATTGCCTAGGCTGGCCTTTACCTTGCTGTGTAGTCAAGGTTGACCTTGAACTCCTGGTTCTCCAGTGTCCACCTACGGTAGGATTACTGGAACTGATTAATTTTTATGAAAGCCATTATAACGCTATTCTGTGAGCAAAGGGAACAAGTAAGAACTGACACCACCACCACTGTGCAGCACTGACTAACCACAGACACTGATCTGGTGGTGAAGCACTCGCACTTCCGCCCTCTGTAATGCACTTCCATCTCCCTGTCCAAAGTTACAGTAAGTACCTACCCATGGAAGAAAATGAGAGCAGTTTACTTTATTCCTGAGGCCCTTTCATATAGTCTGGCATCACAGCCTACAGAGGCTGCGTTCTGCTCCTTCATGGCCGTCCCACATAATGCTGGGTAAGTATCCCTTAGCAAGCCCTCTCCTCGTTTTTACACTAACCCTTCCTTCCCTAAGTGCTGAGAATCCATACATCTAATGTAGCTCCAATTACCTGGAGAGCCAGTGACCGGAGAGTCTAGATTCCGAAGCTTCTAACATTTGTGTCTGGTGTAAGCCACCTTAACAACAATGCAACCCTAGGACAGGAGCATTCATTTCCTGTCTGCAGGCGGTCACCCGAACCATGTGGGTTAGATGTGTGTGTTAGAGACACGGCAGTTACCCACACCACAGGTTAGATGTGCGTTACAAAAGATGGCATGCAGTTGTGCTGTAATCATGACATGAAGCTGAGGAGGTGGTCCTCAACAATACGCTGTGTCAGTAACCCCACTGAATACAAAACACCTCTCAGGAATAGACCAATCTCAAAATAAGAATTCCAGCAAACACTAGTGCATGGCTCTTGTGCCTTCTTCCACAATTACAGTACTGGGATCTTGTTTTACTGTTAGATTTTAAATTGTCATCTTCCTATAATTACACATAGGAAAATAAAATGTATCCTTTGTATTTGTTCATTCTACCACAAAGCTTGAAAGCTACTGAAATACCTTCTAATTGGGTCAGACGTATTTGTTTTAGATCTGAAATCCTCTGTATTGCCTGCTACATCACCACTGCCCTGTGCTACAGGCAGCAGTTGCCTCTGCAGCAGATTTTTAAAGAGTAAAAAGTATATCTTTGCGGAGATCTAAGTAATTCTTTGTCCAAGATCTAACATCTAATTTTAGCATCAAAAAGCCAAACAGAGATGTGGAACAGGCTAAAATGCTAGGCAACAGGTTAAATAACTGTAGTTATTGAAAATGAGAATTAACTGATGCTGAGCTGGCCCAGAGCCCAGGTCCTTTTCTGTGCACTGCTTTACTCTGCACTGAATACCTATAGAGAACAGCAAGAAGCAAGGGGTAGAAGGGTGTCTATAAAAAGGAGGGATGGAAGTGCCTTTATCTTCACTGTACCATGGACATGCCCTGGCTGTAACCCTGTACTACAGCATTGCAAGATAGGATATTTAAGTAAAGGGTGTGTGGAGATATATTGGCATCATTTCTTACACTTGTATGTGAATCTTAACTGTCTTCAAAATGAACATATTTTTCAACAAGAAGTATCTATTATTATGTAACAGCTGACCTGAACATCGGGGAACTCTTGCTCCCCAGACTGATAGCTGGGATACCAGCATGGAACTGATCCAGACCCCAGGAACATGGGTTTCAGTGAGGAAACCTTGGAAATCTACGGGACCTCCTGTAGTAGTTCAGTACTTATCCCTAGCATAGGTGTGGACTTTGGGAGCCCATTCCACATAGAGGAATACTCCCTGAGCCAAGACACACGGGGGTGGGCCTAGGCCCTATCCCAAAGGATGCGACAGACTCTGATGACACCCCTATGGAAGACCTCACCATCCAGGGAGCAGAAAGGATATGTGATAGGTAGGGTTTTAGTTGGGGGGAGTGGTAGGGGAGGACAGGTGGGAGAAGGGAACTGAGATTGTCATGTAAAACAATCTTGTTTCTAATTCAAATTAAAAAATGATAAAAAGAAGTATCTATTATTATGTGTATGATGTATGCATGGGCTCACTCACAGTAGAGGTAGAGGACCACTTTGGAGATCAAGTACAAGGCAAGCATTCTATCCCAGTGAGCTATCTTGGCAGTTTGTAAAAGTTTACTCTAGAAAAGTTAAGTACATCTTACAGAAAAATTCAATAAATCCTCAGGCAACTAAAAGCCAAATAAGTTATATCTTAGCCATCAACATGTACATTTGTACATTTCCTTCTTTTCTTTCTTTTTGACAGGTTACACTGTGTAACCCTGGTTGGCCTAGAACTCAATACATAGACCAGGCTAGCCTAGAACTCACAAGATGCACCTACCTGCCTCTTCCTCCAAGTTCTGGGATCAAAAGCATGGGCCACTACAGCCAGCACTGCTTATGTCTTTTTAGTAGGAAAGCCAAGGTCTGTTTTAATGAGCTACTTCATGGGTATGTAGTTTTACTCTAGGTAGTCAGCTAGTCCAAGATAATCACTTTAACATGCTAAGAAAGCCATACCAATGAGAAGCCCCAGGCCTCCTGACTCAAGATGGCAACTCAACCTCCTCTGTGCACCCACTTCCCAAGGAAAAGGGTGTATAAACTAAGTAATTCACAATCGAAATGTGCCCTGGGAAGATTTTCTAGTTTTTGATGGAATTTTGGAAATTTGATGACTTAAGCTTCAGAAAATTAGCTAAAAGTACCTTTTGTTCTTTAAATTTCTGCTCTATGGCCTAGGGATGTGACTAGTTTTGCTACCCTTCGCATGCTTGGAGTGCACCTGCAGTGCTAAACAAAGCAGCAGTGAGGGCGTTGCTGGAGAGGGTGGGCTATAATTAGAGATGCTGTCACAGTTTGGCAGCCCTGCATCTTACATTCCTATTCATTTCCATAACTAAAGTGATTTGTAATGTCTGCCTACTGTATTCACCAACAGTTTATGAGATAGCATTTTCCCTATCTCCACCTCCAACTTCTTTTTTAATCCATACTTCTGGAATGTAAACATAGCCAGTTACCCACAGAATTTGAATTAGATGCCTGTGGTTGTTCTGGGATAGGAATCCTTGGGGAATAAAGAACACTTCTTTTAAAGGTTTCTTTTTATGGGCTTCACAAGCATGGAGTCTGGAAAGAGAAGTTCTCTCTAAGCACACTGTTTCTGTTTATTCATATTATCTAAATTTTCTTGGTCTATTCCTCAGGAATGAACTTCTCCTTAAAGCCCCATCTCCTCTCATACCCCAATTGTTTTATCTTTCCAAAGCAGGGTCTCTTGGAGGTCAAACACCTCTTTTGTCATGGTGTCTATTTTCTGCTGGAGGCGCTGATTCTCCTGAAGAGGAAGGAGAAGGAAATAATAAAAGCAGAAAGAAAAGCAAGGAAAACAGAACAAAACGGAGGCAGATGAATTATAAAGGGGGAGGAGGGAAGTCTAGGTCAACAGAACAAGGAAAGATGACCATTGTGTTACTAGCTTGCCCAACAGTAAGCAAAGGAGGACAATGGGACACAGCTAAGGGTTATGTGCTGAGTGTGCACAGGTCCTGGGTTCAATCTCCCGCACAAAGAAAGGGGCAGGGCAAATGTCAAAAAGGGTACTGGGAAAAACTAACTGTTCTAACAGCAGCTCTGAGGCAGCTGGCCAGCCTGCATTCCTGTGTACACATAGCACTCCTGCGTATCCATCTTGTGATAACTGCCTTTCTACTCAAACATGGAACCACTTCTATTTGCCGAAGCAAACTTGTGTTTGCTTATGAACAATGATCCTTTACCACAGACAGCAACCTGAAGGTGTGGATGTTGGTAAAGTAGAACTAAAAAAGGACAGACTTATCTTCAGCTTCATCACTCTAATTTTCTGTTGGCAAAAACTGAAATATCATTATGTCCTAGTTAGTCACCACCCCCCCAACACACACACACACACACACACACACAGACAGAGTCTAGAATCCCCTGGGGGTAACATCTCAGGTGAATACTTGTCTTGATTGCTAATTGATGTGAGAGGCATTGGCTGGGTAGATTATTCTGGACTGTATCCGCCAACCAGTGAGCTAGCCAACTAGCATATAGCACCTTCCAGGGTTTCTAGTGTCTTCCTTGGTTGTGAGTGAGTTCCCAAGTTGGAAATAAAGCTGTGTGAAATAGCAAACATTCCTGCCTTGAGGTTCCTGCCCTGACTTCCCTCAATGATAGACAGTGACCTGAAAACAGAAGGTGAAATAAATCCATTCCCCACCTAAGTTGCTTTTGGCCATGGGTGTTATTACATCAAGAGGAAGGCAACCAAAGCAAGTGCTTATCCTAGACGTCCCACCATGTTTTCCCCATTTCTCACTGATAAATTACCAGCAACACTTTCCTACTCACACACTCTACTTGATTGTGCAAATGTTAATTCTGCAGACCCAAAGGCATTACGTGTGACCGATACTCAATTTTCAGTAGTGTGTGATCAATACCTACTGACATCCAAAAGACAGAAATTGTAAGCATACAAAGACTATGACTTTAGAAGTTTGTATCAAGCACCCTGGGCTTGTTTTTCAAGAAAACGATGATAAATTACAGAAATCCAGCCTTACTATCCCTCTCACATGTAATTCCTAATAAAAACTGAGACAGCTAATCACAGTGGAGCCGTGCATGGACACTCTGGTCTGCTGTAGCTCACCCTCGTTGGCATTGCAATGCTGCGTGAGGGTGGCACAAAGCTCCTCCACCAAAGAGAGCTGATGCCTGCAGGGTAAGGTGAAGATCTTGACAACTTCCTTCCTTTTCTTTGGCTACATCAAATGCATCAACTTGAGTGAAGATCAAAACTCTTACTCCTCAAAAGTCATGTCCTCTAGCATGCCATGCACTTGTACCCAAAGAATATACTCTATAATGCTTCCTTTTCTAACTTCCTGTGACATCTTCAGGGAAAAGTGTGTAAGAATAAAAGACACTGACCAAAAATCCTGCTATTAAAAGATGGGTGGTGGTTGTAGAATTTGTAAGCATTCACTTTGTAAGCTTGCCTTTATGTTTTCATGTTGGAAAATCTTTGAGAGAAGAGAAATGTTTACACAAGTAAACTCTATAGCAGCAATTCTTAAGCTGTGAGTTGCAACCCCTTTGGGGGGCGCTAAGCAATCCTTTCACAGGGGTCGCCAAAGACCATCAGAAAGCACAGATATTTATGTTATGATTCATAACAGGAGCAAATTACAGTTATGAAGAAGCAAAGAAATAATTTTATGGTTGGGGACACCACAACGTGAGAAACTGTATTAAAGGGTCGCAGCATTAGGAATGTTGAGAACCACTGCTTTATAGCTTTGTAACATTCTCCCAACAAGCACACCACCATCCTATCCAACTCATTTAGTTTTCAAGTCCAAATATTTCCAGAGTTCAAGTACATACCTCAATGAGTTCATCTCTCTGCCGAAGGCCTTCTTTGAGTTCATCCATTTTATGTTGCAGCACACTGCACATATGTTTCTGCCTTTCTAACTCCTGTTATTAAGCAAATGATATTGTTACAGAAGTCATGGGATACAAAGCTGAACATACTTAATTTAACACAGAGGCCAAGTCTGACATCCAGACCCTGCCTAGATAGATGACTTGAATTTGGTGATTTGGTGAGAGGAGTCAAACTTTCCATCTCCATCCTGTATGATGAAAGTAAGAAACACAACTAAAGGGACCGCAAAATGTAGGTACTTTTTAAAAATGAGTAACTGCAGATGAAACAATTTTAAATGACTCCAATATCCAAAAATAATAAAGGGTAAGTGGGGCAAGAGACTGCATAAAAATTAAAATTTTTATAATAGCAAAAGCTACCACAAAGATAGGAATGAAAAGCTAGATAAGAAATTATAATTTATGTTCAGAGACAAAATTTATTACTATTTTTCCATTTGGAGAACTCCTAAATAAATAAAATAACAACAACGAAGAAGAACTACTGACAACGTGGAAAGCCAGGCTAAAGCCCAGGAAACGAGAAGGGAACAGCTCCGATATAGAACATGCTGTGGGACAGGAACACATAGCAGCTCTGAGGGTCATCGCATGGGGCTTACAAAAGAGGGTTCCGTGGACCCCCCCCCCCCCCCCCCCGCCATGGCGCTCCTTTGCAGATACACTAGTAAAACCTCAGCAAGACCCAAGCCATTATTTTTTGCAGGATGTTTTGCAGGATGACTTCTGGACGTCTATGAATTGAGAGCTGTTGAGGCAGAATGTCTGCACAATGTAATAGCCAGAGCATGGAAAGGAGTGCAGACCTGTGTGCTCCAAGCACAACGGCACTTACAGTGGGCTGCCATTTTCTCAGAAAGGAGGGCCACAGATGCGTGTGTTTACATGTATTTCAAATGCTGTATGTATATTTTTTGTAATCAGATGGCTAACATATCTTCTTGGCTTATAAAAAGGAAAGACGAATCGAGGCTGGAGAGATCACTCGGCGGGTAAGAGCACTAGCTGCTCATGCAGAGGACCTGAGTTTGGTTCCTAGCACCAACATGGTGGCTCACAGCCATCTCTAAGTCTAGTTCCTGGAGATCCAATTCCTTCTTCTGACCTATACACAAGCACCAGGCATGCATGTGGTACACATACATACACAAAATAAAAGGAATGAACCTTAAAAAAAAATAGAAATAAAGCCGAGCATTGGTGGCACACACCTTTAATCCCAGCACTTGGGAGGCAGAGGCAGGTGGATCTCTTGTGAGCTCGAGACCAGCCTGGTTTCCAGAGCGAGTGCCAGGATAGGCTCCAAAGCTACACAGAGAAACCCTGTCTTGAAAAACCAAAAAAAAAAAAAAAAAAAAAAAAAAAAAGAAAAGAAAAGAAAAGAAAAAAGAAATAAAAAGAATTCCTTCAAAGAAAGAGGAAAATGAGAATGAGAAGATGAACTTTGAACTCATTTCCTTTGACTTCACATCGACCTACGTTTACATAAGGCACGAAAGAGTTCATTTAAAGCAGTTTCTAGTGGAAACAACCCAGACACATGGCAAATGAGGATGGATGGGTAAAATGTAGCAGAGAAATCTTTCAGGGTTCAGCCCTCTGAAAGAAGGAACTCTTATCATGAGCACTGGGGACTACAAGCTAAGTATTATAAGGCAGTCACGTACTGAAGAAGGTGGCTGCCAAGGGCTTGGGAAAGGGCCAAATGTCCCTATTTACTTAACTGTTTAGAGTTTACTTTTGCAAGATAAAATATACAGATTCTACATACAACAGTATAAACATCCTACTGTGAGCTACATCCTTTAAAAATGAATAAAATAGTAAATTTATTGTGGTGTGTTTTTTACCATAATAAAAAATAAAAAATTTAAACTATTTCAAGTAACTTTTTAAAAAATAGTATTTTGGCTATGCATACATAGCCTCTGTCCCAGAGTATAGGCCAAGCCAAACACTGTGACTACTTGCAGTATCGACACTGGTGTGACCTGGCCTTTCTCTGCTGAGTGACATGGAATGAACAGCAAGAGTTAGGAGCTGCAGTGTGGCACAAAGATGGAGAACAGAGGGGCTGAGTATGTGACCCACCACAGCATAAAGTGCTTTGTCAGATAAACAAGCAAAAGCCCACACACAGATTTCCACTAAGGGGACTGTGACGGGATCGCCTGAGCAGCAAGAGCAGCCCCAGGCCTGTGGGAAAAGACGGAAGACTGCTTGCACAAAGGATGGATCCCAAGGTAAAGCTGAAGCATGTTCTTCTGTCAGAAAGCAGGGAGGCTATTTGTCTGTCAGCAAGCCTTCCAGAGAACTTGAGAATCAGCCCAAAGAGGCTCACAATAGCCACAGTGATGAAATCTGAGCATCAAAAGAAACAAAAGCTGCAACCCAACACTGAACTTCATAAAGAGAAGTTTTAAGAAGATGACTGGTCACTGTGAAGCCATAACAGCTCCTTATTTTGAAACTATACAGGCAACAAAGTCTTTATCTTGACTTCCAAAACTATGCCAATTGTCTGTCTAGGTAATAAAAAGTGAACATGATAAAAAGAAAAAAGGATGGCTGCAAGCTAATAAAGAACAGGAAGTTAAAAGAAAAAAAAATGGCAGAAGATATCTACAAATCATTTATCTAGTAAAGTAAGTGACCAATATCTGAGATACCATCTTCTAACAGTAATAAAAATTGAAAAACAGGTGATTTCAAAAGATAAACCATAAGCCCATGAAAAGATACTCAAGACCAGTAGTCTTATCAGAGAAATGCAAATCAAAGCCACATCCACTAGGACGGCTAGGCCACTAGGCCAGACACTAATAAATACCGGAGAGGATACAGACAAAGAATGTAAACAGTGAAATGGGCTGGCACTATTTTGGAAAGTCTGCTACACCTCACTCGGCTGGTGTGACTGCCAGAGCACCCAACAACCCCACTCCTAAGTACTTAGACAAAGTAAAACGGTGTCCACACAAAAACTACACAATGTTCATGTCAGCATTTTTCATAAAGGGCCAAAGGGAAAACCAACCTACACATCAGTTAATGCTGCTGGACTTCCCAACACATGTGGCTACCCTAATGATAGAATATTACCAGGCCATAAAAAGAAAGGAAGCACTTATCTGTGTGCTACAGCATGGGTGACTCGGGATTACTACACTAGGTGTAAGATGACAGTCATCAAAGAGTTCCTTTTATGGTTTTGTTGATATCAAAGTCCAGAATGGAGAAATCTATATAGATACAAAGAAGGCCAGTGGTTACTTTGGAATCAGCACAGGAAAATGACGGGTACAGTGTTCAGCTCCTACTTGAGAGAATGAAACTACTCTGTGTGGGTGTGATGGATGTACATTTATGTGAATATACGACTTTCAATGGGAAGTTATATATGAACTGAATCATTTTTAATGTTTTGTACATGTATGGGTGTTTTTGCTGGCATTTATGTCTGTGCATCAGTTGCTTGGTGACTGTGGAAGCCAGAAGAGGGCATCAGATCCCCTGGAACTGGATCTAAGCATCCAGCTACAGTATAAGAAGACAGCCAGCTATCTGGGCTCTATAGGAAGCTTCTCCTAGAGCTGGCTTGCCAAAAAGGCGCCGGTTACATTTGGTAACATCTCTACACCTGACAGCCTGCTCCCAGGAACTAAAGAGGGTATTGGGGGGGGGGGGCAGGAAAGATTCCGTGGGAATGAGAAGGCAAAGACTTTCAGAACAGCAAGCTCTTGGGACAGGCAATCAAAATCCCTCAGTATCTAAACTGTATGGGGGAAGGGAGGGAAGCAACTAATTCCAAAATGTGGAACTTATCTGGATGCTGGGAGGGTGTGACTGGGAGGGGTTTGGGTGGGTGGGATGGGTATGATCAAAACACTCAGGGTCTCATGGTACAGCTCTGGCTGGCCCGGAACTTATTAGACCAGGCTGGCCTCAAACTCACAAATACCCCCGTGAGTCAGCTTCCCCCATACTGGGTTAAAGATGTGTGCCACCACACGCAGTTTCTGTTTCTGTTTTGTTTTGAGAAAGGTTCTCAGTGTAACCCAGGCTAGCCATAAAGTCATGATCCCCCCTGCCTCAGACTCTGAAGTGCTAGGATTACAAGGGTGCACAACCATGGCTAGCTTCTGATTTCTTTCAAAGTATAAAAAAGGGAAAATTGTGTATGGTATTTTAAAACTACTAAAATTTTAACAGTGTCTAGGTATGTAACATAAAGGAATTGATATTAATTTTTCAAGTATGAGCTGGTGTGTGTGTGTGTGTGTGTGTGTGTGTGTGTGTGTGTGTGTGCAAACGCATGTCCCTGGGTGTCAGATGTGTGTGTGTGGAGGCTGAGGTGGATGTCAGGTATTCATTCTCTCCCCTTTTATATTAAGACAGAGTCTCTTGTTAAACCCAGAACTCACTAATTCATCTGCTCTCCCTAGTCAGCTTACTCCAGTTCTCCTGTCTCTGCCTCCCAGAATTTCAGGAGGGCTGCCGTGTTCACCTAGTATTTACATGGTTGCTGGAGACCCAAACTCCTGTCCTCAAGTCTATATGACAAGTGTTTTCTCTGCTCAGCTACCTCAAGCCCCTGAAATGCTTTTTATTGCATTTTTTAAAGGGGAAAACATGTAGTCTGTCAAGATTAATTACTAAAATTAGATGCCTAGAATGTAACATGGAAAGGACAGGGCGGGCTAACTATGGGTTGACAGTAGCAACAGGAAGCTGATGGACTCCTTAGAGTGTCTACATACTTCTCCCATGTTCAAAAGCAATAAAGATTTAAAGACTTGTTTTTATTTTATATGTACGTGTGAATATCTGCCTGCATGTATGCATGTGTAGCACATGCCACTACTTACTGGGGCCAGAAATGTGCGTCAGATCCCCTGGGACTGGAGTTTCGAGTGGTTGTCAGCTACCTCCTGTGGGTGCTGGGAACTAAATTTGGATCCCCTTGGAGAACGACGAGTATAATTAACCACTGAGTAATAACATGTTTTTAAATATCAGTAGGTTAGTTCCTTATTAAAGTAAGTATTAAGAAAATAATACTTTGCATGTTTGTGGTGTGGTGTGGTGTGGTGTGGTGTGGTGTGTACTTACATGTACCTGCATGTAAGTGCGCGTGTGTGTGGAGGACCTCGGGTTAATGTCAGGCTCTTTCTCAGTTGGTGTCCACCTAATTGTTGAGACAAGTCTCTTAATGAACATGGATCACATCAGGCTGGTGAGCCAGTGGGCTGCAGGGATCCACTCATGTGTGGCTCCCAGCACTGTGCTCACAGATCTGTGCTGCCATGCCTCCACAGGAGCTAGGTATCAAGCAATTATCAGCTGAGCTATGTCCCCAGCCCTGAGAATATAGCCACACACTCGGGTACCCTGCTGCTGACACAGGCATGGAGACATGTTTAAAGACAGCTACTGAGCTGGGTATGGTGGTGCAGACCTGATCTCTAGCACCTGTGTGGCCAGAGGCACAGGAGCTCAAGATCATCTTTGGCTACTTAGCAAGTCTGAAGCTAGCCCAGGTACAGGAGGCCCTGTCTCCAAAATAACAAAACAAAAACCTAAAGAAAATGAATAAATAAAAGATGAATTTACAGGATAGGCTCCAAATCTACATAGAGAAACCCTGTCTCGAAAAACAAAAAACAAAAACAAAACAAAACAAAAGATGAATTTATCATGATACCAACAAGAAAAAGTAAAAACATTTTGAAATTTAAAAAATACATTTACTATTTGTATATTAAAAAAAAAAAAAAAAGCCAAACAAACATGGAGGTCAGAGCATAACTTGTAGAACTCAGGACTGCAGGGCTGGTGACAACTTTAACAATGCAGATGTCCAGAGCTCTCAGCATCTGCTGCCATAGTGAAGTACATCAGAGAATCTGGCCTCTGTATCTGTGTATCTGTGCGGGTGAGCATCCTATGTATTGCAAGAGCCAACATCAGTTTAGAACAAGCAAGTATGATGACTCAGAATCCTTAAAACTGGTTTCTGGGATAGAATACCAAAGAGTAAAAGCACTAGTGTCTCCAAAGCATCCTCTTCAAGGACCATCACTGAGCTAACATAAAAGATACTTATTTTCAGCCAGGCGTTGGGGGCCCACGCCTTTAATCACAGTACTCGGGAGGCAGAAGCAGGTAGATCTCTGAGTTTGAGGCCAGCCTGATCTCCAGAGTGCCAGGATAGGCTCCAAAGCTACATAGAGAAACTCTGTCTTGAAAAACAAAACAAAACAAACAAAAAAAGATACTTATTTTCACACATCTAGACCCTAGCAACATTTTCAAATAGGCCTTTAAAGAGTAACTATAGCAGATCGTTGGTGACACTCGCCTTTAATCCCAGCACTCGGGAGGCAGAGGCAGGCAGATCTCTGTGAGTTAGAGACCAGCCTGGTCTACAAGAGCTAGTTCCAGGACATCCTCCAAAAGCCACAGATAAGCCCTGTCTCGACCCCCCCCCCAAAAAAAAAAAGAGTAACTGTAGTTTCACAGAAAAACTGAGAGGAAACTAGAGTTTCCATATTTCTCCCATCCCCATAACTGCAGTCTCTCCTATATGTAACTAATGTCCACACCTGAACAGTAAATTCAGTTCAATCAGTGAGCCTACACTGGGCACCATTACCATGGAAGTTCATCAAGCACTATTCAACTTGTCGTTCCCTTTACTATGTACAATTTAGATGACTGTTTACAACTCAATCAATACATATTTCCTAAACTGTCTCCTTACATTTTTCTGTACTGGCAATATAGCAGTAACCAAACTCTGGCAATAATATCCATTTATTTTCTGCTTAGAAACCAACACTTTAAAATGTCCAGGTCCAATAAACTCTTAATACAACCCAGTTTCTTTGCTACAGCTGCCCAAGGGCAAATCTGGCACTTAGACAGCAACCCCAACTGTATGTAACTTCTTAAGAAAACATCTGTCAATTTCTGACTCATGTATTTAAACTGCTGCTTCTAATTAACTGGTTATTTGGAAAGTGGACTCTCTTGAAGAACTTAGAAGCGCACAGAAAAAAAAAAAAAAAAGGTACTTATGTTGCTCAGCTCTGTATCACTCTACTTACAATGGAAAGAAAGAAGCAACTCAAGGTCATTGTCATAGTTAAAAGAATAATACCTGAGTTGTAATCTAGTTTTTAAAAAGCTAAAAAAGGATCAACTTTAATTTATAGAGCAGTGACTGATTTCTTAGACCACTCAGTTCTGCAGTCTCCCGCCAACCCCATCTTCTTTAAATGTCAAGCTTTGATTTTCTGAACCAAGAAGAACGTGGTAGACAGATGAACAGCTACCTTTGATTTCTCTTCATTTTCTCTGTAAAACTCTGCCATCTGCTCCTCCTGCTCTTCAATGACATCCTTGAGGGTGTCTACCTGGTAGATGAGGTTGTTCTTCTCGTTGTCTAGCTGTGCGTTGGACACCATGGCCTTCTTGTATTTCTCTTCTACTTCAGACAAAGACTCCTAAATGACAAAAACCGTCAACTTGACATCTACAACATGGCGCTGCACCTGAGTGACGCGCAGCCAAGAGCAGCGTCGCACACATGAAGAAGCGCCTCCACACAGTACAAGCAGGCCAGGGACTCGAGTTTAGTAGCATGCACATGTAGCAGAAAGACGAGAGAAAGACACTGATGCCTTTCTGGGAAGTGTTCTCTGTGCATGCCAAGAACACAACAGCAGCAGTGAAAAGGTGTGCAGAAAACGTGTTTTTAAGAAGTGGAGAATGTAATCATTAACATTGCCAGGAGAGTTTCTCTTTTAGTTCTTAACAAGGAGATGACTGGGGTTGGAGCGCAGCCGTTTGAGAGCGCACAGCCTCTCTCAGCACAACCACACACTTCTGAATTTTGCCACTTTGGGGTTTATATTTTCAGTATTTCCACAGTGTGCAAATGCTAATGTAAATGGAATGAACATTTTAAATTACTTAAGAGCTATTTCACAGTGCCTGGAATTTTATATAATTCAAAAGCTTTACCTAAAATCGAATATACATTTTTAAAAACAAATAACTTGGTAACTGTAATTGCCTATTGGCTTATTAAAAGACAAAAACTCATTTAGAAAAGTAATCACTTTTAGAGATTTTTTTTTTAACTAGTACAAATGTTTAACAAACCCAAATCATTTAATAGACTTAGGACTCCAGAACCTTACATATAATCAATTATTTGACAACGGTGTCCACATAATACAAAGAGAAAAGACTGAATGATGCCGGGACACCGTCACTCTTCTGATGAATGACTATCCAACACTACTCACAAAAATTAGCTCAAAATGAACCAAAGACCTAAATGCGAAGTTAAAACCATAAAACTCTAAAGGAAATACAGAAGAAAGTCTTCAAGACTCTAGCTAGGTAATAGTCTTAAATAAAAATTTTATGAAAAGCACTATCAGCTAAAGAGAAAAAGGAGACCTTATTAAAATTTAAAACTTTACACTGCGAATGGAAGCCCACAGAACAGGAGAAAGCATTTCTTAGTGTTCTGATAACTGACTTCCATTCATCTGACTACAGACTCAGACTCAACAACAAAAGGTCCAAAACTCAGGGCGATGACACCTTAAATAGGCAAATCCCCAAAGAGAACCTACACATGGATGTCCAAGGAGTACATGGATGCATGTCAGCAGTGTTACTTATCAGGGAATGTACACTAAAACCAGTGTGATCCTATGTCTCATCTACTAAAATGGCTCGAATCCATAACCAAATCTTTAGGCACAGAGCTGAGGACAAATGCTCAGTACAAGAGCCACCTCAATCCCTAGCAAGCCCCTTTCCCCTGAAAGAGAGGATGATTATTAGGAAGGGAACGGTGAAGCTGGATTCTTTATGCCACTGCTGCAAGTGTAAGTGGCTACTCAGGAAACAGTTTGGCAGTTGCTCAGATGGCCAACACTCTAAGCACATGATCCAGTAATTCTATGCTTCACAAACCAGAACTGAATACAGATATTATTAAAAATAGTATTGGAAACATCTAACTAAAAGCATACTTTAAAATGTCAACTATAGGAAGTTGCAAATTCAGTGGTATCTATCTACTCATGTATTGCCAAATTTCATCCAAGAAACTAACAGTCGGAAAAAAATCCTTATTATAGTTCAGTAACATATAAAATGGGATGTGACTTGTGAATAACAGAATCCAAGAAATCTCAAAAGCTAGACACATGGACAAAATACATGATACAGATAGGTCCATGTAAAATTTGTGCAACATGATTTTCCTGTAAAAAGCAATTAACACTTTTTTATCTTTTAGTTTTTTGAGACAGGGTTTCTCTGTAGCTTTGCAGCTTGTCCTGGAACTTGCTTTGTAGACAAGGTTCGTCCTTGAACTCACAGAGATCCCCTGCCTTTGCCTCCCAAGTGCTAGGATTAAAGGCCTGTGCCACCACTGCCCAGCCATCACAGACTCGTAAAGTGGAGCTGGAGAGTGGTGAAGAACACTTGCTGTTCTTACAGAGAACCCAAGTTTGATTCCTGGCACCTACTACAGACAGCTCACAACTACCAATGTCTTCAGCTCTAAGAGATGATGCTCTCTTCTGGCTTCTGTGGGCAACCACCCATATACACAAACAAATTAAAAATAAATATTTTTAAGAGAGACTTTTCAAAAGCCAAGGGGGAAAAATATTCTAATCTTACATTTTGAGTCAGTTTCATGAAAATACAAATTTTTCAACCCATCTCAGATCCACTAAATACCAAAGTTGGAGGTAGAGACCACAGATTTCTATTGTAAGTAGCTCCAGGTGATTCTGTGAAACACTCTATTAGCTTGGCAAGTACTTGAATTCAGTATCTTCATCATTTTATTCTTAGTTCATTGCATAAAGTGAACACTTCATATACTGACCAACTTATAGCTGATAAGACTCCTTCTCCTAGTCCATTAACTCTTCATTGAACAGTTCTTTCTGAACTTAAAGAGATGACCCATTCTTACTCTCCTACAAATAAAAGGTATGAACAAAAGAACATTGTCTGGAAGGCCATAAACAAAATTAATCAATAAAAATGAACCAGTACTTATGTCAGACAATTTATACAAAGACAAACCACTGCTCTTGCTCTACTCTCAAATCCTACTTAAATGAATACAACAAACTGATGAAAAGGCTGAGATAGTGACCAGCACATTCCAAGGAATGGATTAACTGTAACTGCTTGCCACCAAAATGTCAAGTCCTTGTAAAGGCATATATACATCCAGAGATTAGAAGAATGAAAGATGTAAATTTGGGCTAGGGCCCTCGGAGACATAAAGTAAGAACTGTGTCCTCATCTCTCAGAGCTGGGTTTGTTCTGGTTAGATCAAGATTATGTTGGACACAAGTGGTTGCTTGCTAAAGCTAGCAACAGGTAAGGATGCAAAGATTCTAGTTGCCTAAGGGAAGTACCCAGCTGTGCCTCTCAACTTTCAAGAGGCTTTTCTGAATTCTACACTTTTATAATAGGGTTGATCCTGGCATTTGAAATCGTGTAGTTTGTGTTTTTGCATACCCAAAGGTTTGTTGTATCTTTTTAAATTAATTTTTAGTTTATGTACATTGGTGTTTTGCCATGGGTGTCAGGTCCTCGGAACTGGAATTACAGATAGTTGTGAGCTGCCATGTGGGTGCTCGGAATTGAACCAGGGTCCTCTAGAAGAACACTCAGTGCTCTTAACTGCTGAGCCATCTCTCCAGCCCCCCCCCCCCAAGGTTTTTTTTTTTTTTTTAGTTGTTTTGTTTTCAATATAGGGGTTCTTGCTATGTTGTTCATACTGATATTAAACTCACAGGTTCAAGTCAGCTTCCTGCTTTAGCCTCCCAAGTACCTGGGGCTTCCGGTGTGTACCACTGAGCCTGGTTCACCCAAAGGTGTTTTTCTCTCTCCCCACTTTTCTTTCCTGTTCTCCCCCAACTCCCTTGACTTCAGTTTGTTTTTTGTTTGTTTTTTGAGACAAGGGCTGCTACAGCCAAGGCTAGCCTTAAATTGGCAATCCTCCTGCCTCCACTTTCCAAGTGCTAGGATCATACGCATATGGGGCATACACATGCTGTGATGGCATTCTTGCTTGTCAGCTTGACGACATCTAGAACTAACTAAAACCCAAGCGGCTGGGCACACCTGTGAGGTTTTTTCCTTGATTGGATCTTTTATGGTTGGAAGACCCACCTTAAGTCGAGGCCACACCTTCTGGTGGTAGCCTATGTAAAGGACATGAAAATGGAGGCTTTGCTCTTGCCTGCTAACAAGTTCATTCCTTCCCTGGGATTACAGCCTACTTCTTTGGAATTCCAGAATATACTGATGACCACCTGGGATAGCCAGCCTCATGGACTTACCAACTATTGGTTTCTTGGACTCTCCAGAGGAAAACAGCCATTGTTGGAATAGTCAGACCACAGCCTTTGAAGTAACTCTAGTAAATCCCATTTATATAAATTATATATATAATTATATATGGGTGTATGCATACATACACATACATACACATACATTCATTCTATCAGTTATGTTTCTCTAGAGAACCCTGACTAATAACACACCAAGCCCGAAGAATTTAATGCACAATAATAATTTGTGAAGAAAAAAAAAATCAAATAATCAGTGCTAACAAGGCTGGAACAAGTCACACAGTAAAAGCCACCTACAGGGCCCAATCAGCTGTCTAACGAACCAACACTTCTCTAAAGTTCAGTAATCAGATATGAAACACCAGTGTCAGCCACAAGATGTATTAGGTTTTAAGGTTCTTGAATAATGTCAGAGCTAATACCTGACAATAACAGCATTTGTTGAACATTGTCAAGTTCTTCACATTGCCTTACTACAGACAATGCCCTCAGTAGGTAACTCCATCAGGGCAGGGACTATTTCCAACCCTCTTCATCTTACAGATGAGAACCACATAGGGGCTGCAGGACTGCAGATTGGTCAGACAGTAATTGTTGTGGAACACGATCCTCCAGCGTAACTGCCATTAGCATTTAATCTGAGCAGTTGGAATTAACCACAACAGATTGGGCCTGTTGTGGCTGGAGAGATGGTTCAGTGGTTAAGAGGAAATACTGCTCTGAGTTTAGTTCCCAGCACCCAGGTAAGGCAACTCACAGTAACTCTAATACCTTTGACATTCTCTCATAAGAAAAGGTGGAGGGATCATTAGATCCTCACTAAAATTCCCACCCACGCCCTCCCCTCTGCACCTCCCTGCTTTGGAGAAGCCTAAATGCCTGATGGGGTGAATTTCAGTGATATAACTGTCTGGGGACTGGGGGTCACCCATGCCCCATTAAGTAAGCCCCAGAAGCTTACCAGCTCACCAAGCTAGGCTGGAGGAGAAACATTACTCCAGACTGTTACTGGTGCCCTAGTTGAGGTAAGTAGACCAGATACACTAAGAGAAAGTTCATGAATCTTTTATATCATTTATGCTTTTTAATACTTTTACTATATTTTCTGAGCAGTAAGTACATGCTATGAGGATACTCTATGGCATGAGAAAAACATTGAACACTCCTTATTAAAGGAAAGGTGGAAGGGAAAACATTCCAGAAGTAAACATAACAACCATGACCAAAGTTGTAAGTAGTGAGGCAGCATCCCTTCTTAATAAGATAGACATGCCACAACACCATGGTCAATCACCAACCAGAACATTTGTGTTGCAATTTTTTTCCAATTAAATGGACCATTTCAAGGATAAATAGAAATCTAAAGTCAAGTTTAATAATACACTGATAAGAACTAAGAGAGGGCACCAGGCAGTGGTGGCGCACGCCTTTAATCCCAGCACTCGAGAGGCAAAGGCAGGCAGATCTCTGTGAGTTCAAAGCCAGCCTTGGTCTACAGAGTGAGTTCCAAGACAGGCTCCAAAGCTACATAGAGAAACCTTGTCTCGAAAAACTAAAATAAAATAATTAGGAGAGGGCATCTTACCTGTTGAAATTGCAAATCAAATTTTTTCATATTTTTATTCAATGAATTTAATAAATGATAGATGTAAAAGATGAAGAAAACATTTTAAATGAAATGACAACAAAAAGCAGTTAGGAATCCCTCTGACTCACTTGACTGCTGTCTGGATGTGCTGTTGTGTAAGACATTAAAAAAGTATAGATGGATCTAACATACAGGATTTGTTCACTTGATGCAAGGTGTAAGTTATACCACTAAGCCCTAAAAGGGGGATTAACCTTAAGATTTAGATCAGTAAAAATAAATGTCCATCAACTGACTGAGCTCTGACATTCACTGACAGCCTCACCTCAGCCCCCTGGGGCACTCGTCACAGATGGACTCACATCCTTTTTGGTGCCATGTCCTCACTGTGAATTCCTTTTGGACCATGCTACCTACATAAAAGGTTTGACTAGCAGAAGAATTATTTCAGATCGTGACAGGAAGGAGTCTGTTTGCTATGTGGCATATGCTGAGCCACCTTCTGCATTCACTCTTCTAGAGACTTGCTGGTGTTTGCATCTTTAGCCAGTCATGTTTAAAGAAACATTAGTTTCATGTTTAAAGAAACATTAGTTTAAAGAAACATTAGTTTCTTCACAATATCCAGCTTGAACTTTATACTGAAACATGGGAAGGGGGCACAATCAAATGCCATTCACAATCACATGTCTGCCTGACACACTTCCGCTGGCAAGTACAGACATCCTTGCTGGGAATAAATAAAGGTCATTCAAAGTGACCTCCAAATTATTTTTTTTATAAAAATTTTTAAGTTTCATTTATTATTGTACGTGTGTGTGTGTGTGTGTGTGTGTGTGTGTGTGTGTGTGTGTGTTTGCGCACGCATGCGCATGTGCACACACACAAATGCCAGGACACACATGTAGAGGTCAGAGGATAACTTGCAGGTGCCAGTTTTCTCCTTCTACCTGTGGGTTCCAGGGAATCCCACTCAGGACATCAGACTTGGTGCTGAGCTACTTTACTCACTGAGTCACTGTCAGCTCTGAAGTCTTTAAGACACTAAACATAAGTGAAAAAAAGAATCGGCATGCATGCTTCAGGTCCCCTCTTCCCAAAGGGACATAGCATGACTTCCTCTTTCCACTTCTAAGACTGGCTGGCCTTTGTGACAGAATCAGGCGATGTTTTCATTGAACTAGGAAGAATTTCAAGGCCTAGTTCTCAATAAAAATATATCCTTAGAATATTTTTAGGTGTTATTCTAATGTCCTATGGTTAAAACAGGAGAGACAACTAAATATTTAACAAGTGTTAAAAATTGTAAGGAGCTGGCTGTGGCGGCACACACTTAGAATCCCAGCATTGAGGCCAAGGCAATGGACAAGCTTAAGACCAGCCTGAACTACAGAGAGTCCCTATCTCAGAATAATAGAAACACAAGTTATATTACCTTCTGCTCAGATTTCCCCCAAACCCACACTAAACACTGCACATAAATGAGCCCAGACTGCAAGCTTCCCTGTCCTTTACACCGCAGGTTAAGCACATGCGTGAAAGACAAACGCTGTTAGTAAAGCTATGAGCAGCACATTAATGGACTCTGGGGCCATTACCAACACTTGTGCATACAGAGCATGCATGGGCTATGAGGAGCCCTGTACCTTCAGTTCCTTAAGCCCCTGCATGTATCTCCCTTCTACATCATGTATCTGGTCCTTCAGGTCATAGATGTCCTGCAGGACATAGGAAGGAACCATCGCAAAAATATATCTCAAAACTCAAAGGAATCAGATGAAAACACAATTTAGTTCAACTAAAACTAAAGAAATGTAAATATAAAAATTCAAATACCCTCCACTCCCAAACCACTGCAAGAAGCAAGCC